ATATGTGAGGGCACGTGTGTTTACGTTTCATGCCACATAAAAATTGATCGTTTTATCACTGCGCCTAGCTCGCACGACCTTCGCGTGGGACGTTGGCTTAGAGCCAAAATTAAACAGTAAAATCGATGCTACTGATAGTATCTTACGCTCTCATCACGATCACGCGGCAAATTGGTCATTATGGGTTTTTTAACCACCTATGACTAGTTCTTTAATTAAATTAAGAAGTATCGTTATTTTTAAAGAGAAAAGTTACAAGCACACATACGCTTTCTTTCTACTATTTAAACACGTGTCATTAGCACAAAGCACCTTAATTGCATATCTTAGATATTATATACTCAAAATGTAACAATTACTTTCAAGTTACGTATATCTTTAAATAAATATAAATTCTGTACTTTTTTCTCTTTTTCTATTCGCTTTTTAAAGAGCCAGATATGTAGTTATATGTTTGTTTAAGTCTTTTTTTCTGCTTTGTTTCGGTGTTTTACATTTGAATAAATAGAAACGCACCAAACGGGCAACCGAGCTAAGTTTACACAAAACAATTACACACTAAAAAAACTGTTTATGGACCTGAAATCCGCAACTCAATGTTGCTCTGCTGTCAAAGCTATATGGAGAACATTTCTCTTTTACGACGGCCGAAAAGTTCAAATGCCTAAGGTATGTATTGTTTGTAGTTGTAAAACACTTTTAACGGTTTAAAACCTGAAATGTATTGGTTAACTTATTTACAATTTATTTAACTACAACCCTACGTTTTGGATACTTTGCAGCAGACGTGGTCACGGGAGGACTGAAGATGAATTGTATACGTCAAAGTGAAAACTGCTACACTAGCGCTATATGTCCGGCATAGTTGGTATATAGCGAATCTGGTTGGGTCTTCGCAGAACTGACAAACGGTAGCCTGCTAGTTAAATGTGTTTTATTTATTTTGTTTTTTATATATGTGTACTTACTACTTGCGTATTACTTAAAATAGTTTTAGTCTTACATTAAAGTAATTAATTAGGCATTGAGTTTTTTTTGCTACCACCAGTAGTGACCAACATAATTTAATTTTCATATATTAGAGTATGTGATTATATTTCGATTCAAGTTTTTATGTTTTCTTTTAAGTGGAAAGTTCTATTCATATGGAGGTCTATCGCGAAGAACCTGAGTCATATGCCTCATATCATTAATCATTGGTATATTAGTACATAGTCTAATTGTAGTTAATCTTGTCCACCCAACTAATTATGCCGATTGGCTGATGTCATTTTCGACTACTTTAATTAAATCTATGTGTTCTCATAGGACAGTATACAAGTTGACCTACTTAGGAACGAGCCTTTGTGCTCAATTGACCATTGAAAATTATTATTCAGTACTTTATTATTTCATATTATCTTTTTATTTTTAAATAGATATTGGTTTCAATTCCTTCCATCAATATTGAAGTTTTCTAACCTTTACGTGAAGAATGTAAAATAGAACTTGGCGATAAAAGGAGTGACGGCGAGTTTATTGCCAGTTCTTCTCGTTCGTTCTACGCCATTGATTGAACTCGTAGTAAATGTAAAGTTAGATTCTTTAGGTTTGCGACGTTCATAAGTGTACCTAGTTACCTTCATAAATATGATTTTTGACTTTGATTTGACAACATTGGCGTAGCAATGGTAGGGCCAGGTGGTGCAGTGCACCAGGGCCCCGGAACTTAGGGGCCTCTAACCTTGTCTTTGAGAAGTATAAGATATATTGTTGCTATTTATAATTTTGGAGGTTCATTTAATTCAAGCTATGGTGAATCAGGGGACGAGAACCCGATTCTTTCTTAAGCCTTAGGATTAGGTAGACCGGGGCCCTTGTCCACCTAGCTACGCTACTGCTTGATAAGGGGTGTATATGTAAGGGAGGAGGAGAAACAGCCCTTCTTTCCTGAACTACTAAACTTTTTACAAATTCAACCAATAGAAAGAAACATTCTTTCATTGTTAGTAAAGGTGCTAATTATACTATAACAGATCTGTTTCTACTCGTATCTTTATACATTAGTGTAAGGATGTAACACATAACAAAGGTTCTTATTCACTTACCCGTAATTTCTGGAAGCAGAATTTATTCACGAAACAGAAGCAACTTCGCCGGACGCTTTTAGTTGTATGAACGAAAAATGCACCGGTTATAAGCGGTTAAAAATAGATCTAGATACTGACATCTGAACTAAGGAATCGTAAAATTAATTTATCAATAGGATAATGTTTTAATTACATCAATTTATGATTTGATATTGAATTTATTGCACTAATTAGTAAGGACTTATGTGGCCGCACAGACTGTTAATTTTATTTGCTTATTATTGTTCTGTTCATGAGGTTGGTAGATGTCATAGCTATTAAAAATATATATACTCTAACCAGTGGTTAACGATTAGTGACGTTTTACAGTCATCTATGGCACCATCGATTAAAACGTTAGGTATCACACATTTTTCGGAACTACCCACCTTACATAAAAAGGGTCCATTGAGAGCAGATTCTTAGAGACATTTGATCTACTCATAAAATATGAAAGATTGTTAAGAGATGACAGGTGTTAAGTAAAACCAAAATTTATATACTGGAAATTTGTATTTTTCTCACTCACACTCACTAGGGATGAATAACTATATACTATATTTACAAAATATAAAACCATGAATTTCCCAAAATTAGAGATCAATAATATAATTAAATATTTAATAATGCAGATAACTGAAACGTAGACCGTGGAGTGACTTCCAATTATCATCATTTTATAAACAGTAGTTCTTTGTGAAAACAACATTGTTTCGTACCACATGAGAGACCAAGGATATTGTTTTTTTTTTTAATATTTATACTATCAACTACTACATTACACTCGCTAAACTATGTTTCATATTATAATTTATTGGAAAACACTATAGAGAAAGCGATGGACTTTTTTTAACAAAAACGTATTAATTGACATTGTATTGCTTTCAATTTAATATGGATGTATTGTGAGGCCTCAATTTCAAATCTTTCTAAGAGTGCCTATTTTAGTGACTTACCAATCATTATAAGTACAACTTAATATCTTTATATACATGTATATGGGCAGGATATATAGGTTAGTAATTTTACGTCAATATTCAAAAGGTAACAGCCATTAACACCTATATAGCGTCTACCAAACAGCTCTAGCACTACTAATTTTATTTTACTAAACTAATTTCTTGATCTGTGTAGCAAAAATATCCTCTTTTTTTATTTGTAGTGACAATCATATATTATTGCTTTATGATATATCTTGGTTAAAAAAGTCTTTGCTTTTAATATCAAATACTGGACAATTACGTGATTTTTAACGTCGCTGTCATTAAAAACAACATGGCGGCTATCAAGCACAAAATGGCGGATTCAGTATTTGATATTATTTATTACGTACAAAATAATGGACATTAAGCGAGACTAATTGATACAAGTTTCACAAACCATTATTATTATTATTATATATGTAATATGTATAAACCTCTATCTATCTTCAAAAGATACTATTTGCGAAAACCAAAACTTTATAATATAAAGATCATTTAATTAAACAATACATTTTTACATCAGCTCTAATATACTAAAAAAATTACCAATATGCATATATTTTAATAACAATATATTAATTATTGGAATTATTAGGATCTCTAACTAAGCAATATATTAAATACATCTTGCTATCACGAAACTACGTAGAGTTCCGGTTTTAATGAAATAGTGCTATTCTATAATTTGTAGACTCATTTATTTTACGTATAACATTACGTTATTTTAACTTTCTTTGGCACTGATTTTGTGATATCGTGTTTTCGTCGTTAGTCTTATGAGTGTTGTTTTCAGAACAAATTATATAAAAGTTTTTTTATGAAAAAAAAGAACTAATATCCCTGTGAAAGTCAACGTAATGCCGTCTCACTCTAACGCATACATTATAACTGAAAAGTAGAAACAAAATATAGGGCACCTTTGTTGCTAGCAATTTCTGAAATAGTGATATCGAGCGTCCCTTTTCTAGATGGACGTGAGATAAAATGACAAAGAGAGACAACAATAGTATTCCATATTTCGTTTCTACATTTGCAATAAATAAATTACCATTACATTAAATTCTAATTTTGTAAATAATACTCGTATATTTGATACGAATCAAACAAAATGTAAAAAATCACGTCCTTAAATCAGAGTATGGCGGTTGTAGACGAAAATAAATACTTCATGTAGTCCTATCTACGCCACATTCTAATAAAGTCGAATTATATCGTAAGATGACAATTCATAACTTTAAGCCAATATTTTATCTTTACCATAGATTAAAACATTGTTACAAATAAAACAAATAAGAACAACGCTCTGGATCTTTTCACCACAATTCAAACGCTAAATCCGTTTTAAATCAAGTCTATCACAAATCAACTACAATACAGCCGTTTACCTATAATTTGGCAAATTTCGACAGTCTTAATCAGATTGAAAAGAGAAAACACTATCACAATCACTTTGTACTGCTCTAACTTTTACCGTTATTTACTTTTATCGGTTTATAACAATAGTCAATATTTACTATGAAATGCTGATTTACTAGGATATCATTACAATGTATTTCTCGTTACAATATAGTAAGTTAACTATGAATATAATTAAACACTTCAGAATGTAAGTGTTCTCAAAATAACGAAGCAACAAGTGATGGACCTGTTTTGATATAAATTATTATGTGGAAAAGGTGGCTTAGCGCTATTTAATCTGACTTTGTTCAATTTTTGATTGTATGCATTAATTATTATAAAACAATTTTAACGAAAGTAGAAGATTTGAAAAGATTTTGTTGTTTTAATCTAGTCATCAGTATTTTGTTCTTTTTTTGTATTTCATAATTGCAATAGCTAAACCCTTCAAATAAGATTGATTAAAGTTATAACGGTAAATCGTTACCGGTCACCGTGGTATACCAGTAAATTATTTGTTTTCTCCCTTCAGCGCCTGTTCTAGAACGTTCTTGGAAGCAATTTCGACGGTGACCGTTTTGCTGATTGTGGAGAGCTGTGCTTCCATCGAGGGGTCGTCTAAAGGATCTGTCACAATGCGGATCGATGCCACGCGAGCGCGTCGGTAAGCTGATAGCGTGTGAATACCAAGATACCTGTAAGAAAATACATTTAAAATCAATTATAAATTGAAGAAAAAAAAATATATATATATATATATATATATATATATATATATATATATATATATATCGACACGGTAAGGACTTGAACCAACATCCACATCTAACCAATTGAGCTACCGTGTCCTGTGGATGCCGGTTTAAGTTCTACCCTAGATGTTTAACACATATGGTGCCATCATGTACAAACACATGTGAAAAATATTAAATTTTTTCAAAGGAAACGACGTGATTAAAATTAGTAAGGACAGTTAATAAATCATTCGTCATCGAAAATTGTATACGGTTTTAGCCGCCATTTTGAAAACAACAACATTGACATTTTACAAAGGTATTTAACCTTTGTAAAATGTCAGCTAAGGCCGAGCTTTTCTGAGCTGTCAACAACTCCAAAACTCAAGTATTTAGTACTATTAATGTAAATTATTATTTAACTGATTCTACTCAAAGAAATATTTCATGGTAAAGCATATAGTAAGACGTTTCAATTACTAGTAAATATTTTTAAGCTTTTGTTTTATTGTTTGTGAAGAAAGATCACAGACTAGCATGGGGTTCCCTTTATGGTAGGTGCAATGCCCCAGCCATATAACATCTAAACAAGTTGCTCCATCGACTTATTTTGGCTTCGGATAGTCAAAGATGGCGCTCTTTAGTCTCGGAAATTAAGACTCACTAAGGTAAGTATTTTCCCTTACCTAGCGGCTACGTAGCAGACGAGAAGCGCACCCCCTGTACCGAGGATGCGAGCAACAGGCGACGGGTAGATCTGCACGAGGCCCCACGCGAACAGACCCGATAGGGACATGCAGATGAAAGCCAATGTGATGCGCAGGAAGTGGACCAGTGTGAAGCCGCGTTCCCATAGCAGTCTATGAAAAAGTTTAGGCTTTATGTCACACTGTTTCACTCGTAAAATAAGTAATTTGTTTATTAACTTTAATTTATTAACACATTGAAACAGGCTCCCTTCACGCAATGTAATTTCAACCTTCACACTTACGCATTTAGGTTCAATGTCTTCATTAAAGATATACATAGTTTAACGTTTGACTCATTACTTCCTTTATCCTATAGAGGTAAGAAGAATGAAATTACTTTTAATTATAATATTATTAGGTTTATTAGTCAAATCTAGGTACACTAAGCTTACCTGTTAGTTTCTTCTACGTTATACGGAGTGTTGCACACTTTGCATTTCATGCAATCTGGTGTTCCGTAGCTCTGCAATCAAAATGTATACCGTTATTAGTTAACCTTATCTTAATGTGTATGAATAGTAAACGACGAAAAATTAGAAAGGTTTTGGTAAAATTAACTAAACCATACACTAATATTTATACTTCTACAAAACAAATAACTCTAACTTTAACTAAGCGTAACTTACTCAATTTAATAATAGAATAACTGTATTTATCTCACATCAACTAACATAAATAACGCAAACCTTTGGAAACATACAATAATATATTTGTCGTTCAAAATAGTTGCTCTTTAAATGTAGTTCTTACCTCAATAAGCCACCGCTTCAAGCACTCGTGGTGAACAGCAGCGACATCACCAGTGCATCGGCACGGTCTGATCAAGGGATCTGGGCGGGAGCCATCGTAGCAGATCCAGCAGTCTCGTCCCGAACCGATACTGCCCACCAGAGAGTCTGTCTCCACATTCTGAAAATGGTGGTATTATAGTTACGAACTAATGGTTCACTAGAAGAATATTATTTTGTAACAGTTAATGAGTGTAGTCAGACAGGGCACATAAGTCTGATCAAAGGCTTGTATGTGTATAAAATAAAATGTGTCCAATGCCCCAAAAGGTAGAAACGTAGTTCTACCCAACCACGAAGATGGATTAGTAAATTTTAGCAACGTAAGAGTCAGGAACACACTTTCAACCCGCGGTATTACACATAAGCGGAAATAACGATGCGATTAAATAATAATTATTACATAAGAGCATGACGAACAGTTTTCAGATGTGTCAGAATTACATGATTTATATAAAGATGCTGTTGATAAGAGGCGAGAACGTAATGTCGCGATGTAATTGTTAAAAAATCGTCGAACAATTTGTTGCAAGTATGTTCCCGCGCTAAGTTAGTCTGTCACATACAAGTAAATATTGGATATTGTAAAGCTTTTGATATGGGCACACTGATTCATTTATGAACGTTAATTGGTTTCCTGAAACCACATGTCTTTTTTACCTATATATTATAAAAAATAGGGCGTCGTCCTATTTCTTTGTCTACTTAATTTTAAAAAACATTTTACAAGTCAATTTTAGCATCAACGGAAAGGCTCTGGTGACTCTAGTGCTATAAATAAATTCTTACACCGAAAAACTTTTCAGGTAAAAAGTAATGCTAGCTGTAATAGCTAGCGTAAATATTATTGCTTACATTCAGGAAAATCTACTATCAGGATACGAATTTACTATAACAAAATAAAGGTTGCCAATTTTTTGTTTTCTCGACCCTACGTACTAGTCCTAACTGTACTACTACCTATTGTGTCTGCTTTCATTAGACGGTTAGTACGCCATCACTCACCAAGGTTAATTTAGAAGTAAAACCAGCAATTGCCTCCAGAGGGAACCGATAGGAGTATGCGACGGACAGAAACCGCCAAATAGGAAACCAGTGACGCAACAACGCCAGAAATAAAAGCCACGTTTGTTGCCAAGTCAGCCTATATAGGTCCAGCTGGGAATCGGTGAATTACCTCAATACATTTGTTAAAGGTGGCCTATTTTACCCCATCTATCGTCTATATGGTGACACTCAAATTGATCTCATGTGCCTGGTGCTGAAGCAACGATTGTCCCAAAAAGCGAAACGACATAAACGTAGCGCTGATTAAAGCTAAGACCATTTTAAACTTAGGCTAAAGAATGGAAACTGGGTCGTTTGTTCCATTGCTTTTAGGGTGAAGATTATTGTATATCTACGTTCCAATTTGATAATGGCCCAAAACTGGACACAGAATTCCCATATTATTGGTGGGGCTGAGTTCCAAAACCGCAAAGGTTTTTGGGGCTTAGCCCCATCAAGCTGCTCCAACGTTCTGGACCTATGAGGCAGGCAACATATCCCATTGACAAAAAAAGTTCATCAGTCATCAGTTCTGGCATTACGTGAAAAATAAGCGCATACATTAGGACAACAACACGAACAACGTCACAACACTAGACAATTATGTAAAAGCGAAGCGTAAAAGCTGAAGACTGACGATTACTTTGATATGAATGAACTTATAATAGAAGAATTCAAGAAATCTTGATTGTTAGATACATTTAAAAATAAAAATAAAAGTTAGTCAACAAGTTTAAACTTGTCTTTTTAAATATAAACTTAACCTATAAACCGTTAGTCGAGAGTCTCTTCTTATCTCTACACATTTTCATGGCCAGCTCACCTTATTATCCGGGTTATTTCCGGGTCCAAGAAGATCAGCTAGCCTCGCCTCGTCAAGCTGCTTGGCGAGCAAGCGCCTAGGGTTGAGGATCCAGAGTCTCTCGGGCGCCATACAGTTCCACAGCACGCAGGGGAACCATAGCGTGACTCCGATCTCCGCCAGACGAAAGACTAGGTCGTGCCAGTTACGGGATACTACCGGGACCCTGGACATATATATACGTGAATTAAGATTTCTTCATCACAGAAATTAACAGTAAAGCATAAGTGATTTTATATTCTCATGGTGATAAACTGAAAGCGGAATATTGCTGATGTAACTGATATGTCAATATATAGCAGTTTATCTAAAAACAATAAAAATTAGGTTTCAATCCCACTTCTGATATTATGGTCGGTTTTGAATTACATTAAACTGTACGCTATGACATCGGTAAAACAGGAAGCAGTATCAATAAAAAGGTGAAGTTCCCCTTTAACAATGAGTAGTGGATATAATCTTCTCATAACTTACTTGGCCTTCCAAAATTCACTAAGAGTCTCTGAAGCAAGGAACCCAACGATGAGTATAAGCATTAGCGCCTGGCTGATGAGACCTAAACGCGATTGGTGGAGTTGTGAGTGGTTCACCGAACGCGGGTCCACGCTGCCGTCCACTTCTGCTAGGTCGGTTTGAACCCCCTAAAAAGAAAATAATACAGCATAATATGTTTCCTTGGTTTGAAAACAAATCCAATGTGAACATGTCTAAAATATCTGTAGCATAAAAGCAATTATTTTGAAAGACTTAGATCATGTTAGTCTGATGATTGATTAAACTGATTTGTATTCTCTTAATCAAACGTTGGACAAACAGATTAGTACATGTATTAACGAGGGCACACAATGTATTAAATTAACATGTAATTTCATTATTGAGTATTTATTGTTTTATCATCATTTGTTCAAAGTAAAGAACCGAGTTTATTAGCTACACATTCCTACCTTTACACCAACAAGCCACCGTCAAAACCAGAACTAATGTGGATGGAATAATCTTGACCAGGGTAATTGATTAAGGCCAATCCTTATCTACTGGTACAGGAGGCGCGCGTCTCATTGAGTACTATCAGGCACTCATTAGTGAACCTTGCCTTCTGTTTTAAGAAAAGCTTATGCATGTTATAAAGGTATGCAAGTCTATAGAAACCATACACTTACCTGTTTAACGAGTGTGTCCTGCACATCATCACCGTCGGCCGCCGAGGAGGGCCCCGGCCTCGGAGTAACTATCGTGCACACTTTGGTCTCACGTAGGAACTCACCGCGAAGCTGAATAACAATTAATATTCTACTAGAAATGTGGACCAATAATTAAAATACACATTTCTTTTAAGCTAAACTGCTTTAAAGGAACATTTTAAGAAGTCTAGCGGATACTGTAGATCAATTGGTTAGAGCAGCACGGAACGTTGTGGATGTCGGTTCAAATCACGCCTGTGTGATCGAAATTTTTAAATCTTATTAAGAAACAGAACAAACAGTCATATACAGAGCAAAAAAAATACTTAACTTTAAACAAAAATACCTAAAATTCCACTTATTTTAACGGAAAGATATCAAAGCTCTAATGATATCAAAAATGTAAAACAGAATAAAATAAATATGTAAGAACGAAAAAGGAGCAAATGTAAATAATTTAGAAACTACGACGTATTAAAGTAGATATACAAGTTATGTATTTTGAGATCCCACTAGAAAAAATATCGACTGAATTCAAGTTTTATTGTAAAAATACGTAACTTCTAATAATTAAACTATTAAATAGAAAATAAAAAAATATATATTATTAGTTTTCATACAGAAACATATTTTTAGTAGTAGGTAATAATTGCTTTGTATTAACATACAAAGTTTCGTACTTGCTGTGTATAAGATGTATGTACCCTAAAGCGATTAGATAAACAATAGGCTCTAAAACATACGATGATAACACTTAAGATCACCACAAATGGTGTAATGGTCAATCAAATTTCGCATTGTTGCGCTCCTTAATTTGTTTTCCTCCAGCGTTTTAAACACGCGCATTAATTGGAACACATCGTGGACCGAACCGAGTGTTAAATATTTAATACAATTTACAAACTTTATACTGGAGAAGCGTGGTCTCTATCTATAAGTCACTAACTAGCTGACCTGGCAAACGATCTTTTGCTATATGAAATATTTCATTGTAGTTTGATTCCCATAAAACGGTTCTTCTGAGTTAATCTTCAAAGATAAGATTATTTAAAGAAAAATAATTCTTCTATTCACATTTTTGGGTATCTTCAAGCATAGTCGCAGCTGTTTCCCAGTTGTTTTTTCACATTTCCCTTTGTTCCATCGCTTCTATATGTCGAAGCCTTATGCATTATATATTATATATATTTTATAAGAACCAGTAGGTCCTCAGATTGTCGCGTTCAAACAAACAAACTAAACACTGTCTGTACTTACGTGAGTAGTACACATTTACTTTTACTTCGGAGCCGTTGTTAAAATAATTAAATAAAAATCGTTAAAGAGTTTTATTAAAAAAAAACACACAAACTTCTCAGGTTTGAAATATTAGTATAAGTTTTTAGTGTAGTCCATCTGTCTACATCTGTCTGTAATACTAGTCGCGTTTGATATACATATAGCATAAAAAAATCATTATTGTAATCAAGAATGTTCACTTGATACTCCACCTCTAAATAAACCCTTACGAAAAGCTCACTGATCTGCCAGGGCATTTGAAAACTGAAAATGAAGCAAAAGCTGAAAATTACTTTTAGGCATTATATTTTAGTTTAAATTTGTACTTATTTCCAATATTAAAAAAAAAATCAAATAAAATTGTCATAGAGACTACCACTATGGTATACTTATGTAAATGAGTGTATTAGCAAAGCCATACCATTACGTGGATCAAGATATTATCCTTCTATCTTGAAGGAAAAATAACGCAACATATGGCATGTATTACGAATCTAAACACCTTTTTTGGACAGCGCAGCATAGCATGAGATAAATAAATAAATGCCAAGTTTGGTTATCTATGTCTCGGAGTACAAACTGACAATTCTGAGCTAGTTTGCAAATGTTATAGCTCCACGGTCGCCTTGTTTTCACAACAACCATTTAGATAATTAAGTTATATCTATACCTAATAATATAAAGCTGAAGAGTTTGTTTGAACACGCTAATCTTAGGCTCACTGGTTCGAATTGAAAACGATAATTGCGTTGCGTGCGGTGCGAAAACGGTTCAAAATACCACAGATAACAAGATATAAGAAGAATGTATATAATAACGATTTCTCTTTAAATGATCTAAAAAAATGGCGATAGATTAACAAAATAAGTAATCTACGCGGACGAAGTCGCTGGCACAGGTAGTATATTATATAGCCCTACGATATTTTACACTGGCTTCCTTGGTTACCTGGGGCGATGAGGACTTACTGAAAAACAAAAAAAAATCCAATGTGTATTATAAGGGGAAGTAGAAGGAAATATGTACCTTAAAATATACTTCGACGCCGTAGATCAGGAAGAACACGACCACGACGAAAAGCAGTACAGCGTAACATCCGTTGAAGACGTGCTGGTAGAAACTCTGAAACGATAGTAAAATGTATAAAATGAGTAATGCTTGGAGTCTAAGTCCCTAATTGGAATGTTTCCCCGCGTAGGGCATGGGGCGAACACATTTCTGTCTCCGTCAAACTTCTGTATCATGCGTGACCGTAAAACTCGATTGCTTCCCTGGTACTCAAACCCAGGACCGCACCGTACTTTACGCGGTGCTACGCAACACGTTGAACCATTTAGATACAGAGCTAGTTAAATTTTACTAAAAAAAAAACCTAGGAATTTCGGATACACTAAAATATTTCGTTTTTTTAATGTGTGTTAGATCAAAATATGAGTGTTAAAAATTTGTATATCTTTTTATACAGTTTAAATTTTCAAACACCCAGAAATATTTCAAACACAAGATGAACGATGAAACTAACGTTTTCCCACACTTGTTAAGCAATGGTTTAAAAAAAAAACATATCAAATACAACACCAATAAATATTTATTGCTATAATTTGAATAATTACTTTACGCAATTTATTGTTATAATCGTAAGTGCGAATTATTAATGAGTTATTGCGTTGAATATTAATACTTTTCTTTGTTTCTGCATTAAAGGATAATATGTGTTTATTCGATGCACGTACCATATTTTTATCAGTCTGGGATCGTCTTTGTTCGTCCCATTATTAGTTATACATTTCTAATGAAAATGCACAATTAATTTGAAAAATATACATATATGTATAATAAAAAAAAAAAATAAAAAAATCTTATAATTGTAGTAATATCAGTTTAAAAGTTTCTCCAAAAACACCAATTATTTTCCTTCACATTTAGAGCAGTTTATTTACAGAAAATCAACAGTTCAAAATTGTTTCAATTTTAAACACCTTTGATGTTTTTAAAACTAGAAGACGACAAAGAAAATGTCAACACACTTCAATTATTGTGATTCATACATGTGTCTGTAGCTATAATCACATGCTTTTTGTTAATTCAAATCACTTAAACTACTTGGCTGATTTTAATGAAATTTTGCAAATCCAAATCTCCTTGACACATTCTAATAAATTAAACGCGATAAGTCTGGTAGCAACCTGTATATATCTTTGAATGTGAGGCTACTCTCAATTTTACCTAAAAATATAAGATGAGCTTGTCTACGTTATGTTATTACTGAATATATCAAAAAAAATGAAATCAGGAATTATTATATTGGTGTGAAACATAACAGAATAAAAACAGTTTAACCTTAACAATTTAAGAAAACGACATATAATTATATTCTAGAAAACGATTTTCGTCACCATCAAAGGCGCGATGTTTGCCACCGTCAAATATTATTCTGCTTCGCGAAACATTTGTCCAATTAGTCATTAACAAGGACACTCATTACTGAATACCTAGAGCATATACCCACGCACCCGTGTTTGGGGTCATTAGTTAATTTGACCATAACATAACCTTTGTAATCTAAATTGATATTATAAAGCTGACAAAACAAACAGATTCTTTTGCTTGTTCGTTTGAACGCGGTAATCTCAAGAACTCGACGAAGGCTTTAGGGTATTTTACATCATATATTCGACCCATAGGAGCAAAGAAATAGAGGGAAACGTCGAAAAAATTCTTTAAGAGTTTCTTTTGCGAGCAATGAGAAAACGGTTCAAGATACCCAAAAAATATGTAGAAAGAAATGATTCTTCTTTTAATTATCTAAAAAAAAAGTCTCCGACATTATATATGTATTTTTTTAAAGTAACGCACAAGAGCCTTTTTATGAAACTAAAATTTCGTCAAGTTACTTTATATATCAAAAGAAGGCCTGCCAGGTTAGTGCCTGATAAAATTAAAATTAATAGGTATGCACAGAGAGACGTACAGTTTGAGTCCCGAGTAAAACTTGGACAAAAAAATATACAGGAGACCATAAAACATTATTGTCAAGAACTATGAACTATGAAGGAAGTTACAGTAGTTAACTTAACATTTTCAATAAATATAAGTTTTAGTTATATTGTATACATATAATTTCCAAATGGATTAATTATTATTTTTCTAGTAATAATGTATGTATAGTTTAAAATATTATTATAAAATGTTTTCAGGGTGAAATAGAAATATAGAATATTCAAACCACTGCTGCACGATGTAGTAAGAACGACACATTTGAATGTAGCATTATAGCCTAAATAGATGTAGAGTTTATTTTATAAGACCTTACCTTCTTCTCATCAGAAGTGTTGGCGACGTTGATCGTGAGCACTTCAGCGAAGAGGAGCGAGTAGATGATAACGTTGAAGCTCACAAATGCGAGGAATGACTTCGAAAGGAACCGCTGCCTCTCCCATCGCACGTCGCGGAGGTGGAAGACCTGGGGAAAGAGAGAATCCTAAATTAGCAATTACACCTGTCATATTTTTTTTTAACTAAAATTTTTTACTACTCGTTTTAACTAAAATATTTCGCGTTTGAAACCGTGTTTTTTTTATGGAATCGGTTATTAATATTTTTAAAGTGGTATGAAGCTACAGACATTTAAATATATGCTTTTGAGTTTCAAGAACTATGTTTTTTAGTTAGTTGAAATCCTACACTTATTTACTCAATCTAATAATGTTTAACGATGCACAGTGTAAATGAATGTTACTGCCAACAGACCATTTGTTAATTAAATATTTAATTAATATAATATGAAAATATCACTAAAGGCTTAAATATTTCTTACTGTAGGTGCTGAAAAATGCAGTTTAAACAATTTATATATTTTCCGAAAAGTGTCTAGACACAAAATTTTAGGTATAAAATCCCACTATCTTAGGTCCACCATTACCATGTAGTTAAAACAAATACATTTCGCGTTTTGAACCTTTAAAAGCGTATTTATTCGATAGGTTACTTGAACAATAATTCAAACCGAATAACATATGGAAATGCAAAACATTTATTCAGGTCTCAATGAAATTATTCATTACGTATATATTTAGTTCTAGGACTGCGTATAAAATCAGTACGTTTAATACACCTATTGTAGACAATTACATAATCATAGACTTGTTGTTTTATATTGACCTAATTATTAAAGCCCTAGATTTTCTAACAGCTAATTAATTATTATATCTACTCGACTTTTCTTGATATAGTGTTTCATTAAGTAGTAATCTATACTAATATATAAAGCTGATGAGTATGTTTGTTTGAAGGCGATAATCTTAGGAATTACTGGTAAAAAATATTGTCTATAGCAGTGTCCCGCAAACTTTTTTAGTCTGCGGCACGCTAACTGATGATTTTTTTTTCCGCGGCACACTAAGCTACATTACATTATTAAATACGTTGAGTGGGGGAAAAACCACGCCCAGTGCTTTTCTAACCAATTCGCCCTCGCTTGTGCATCTTGTTGTTACGAGTACCTGCGTTTTGGGTTATTTAGTTAAAGTTAAATTATTACTTTTTGGGTAATTTTATAGTTATCAGAAATTGGTTTATAGATTAATCTCAGAATATCTAGTGCAACTTGGAAAATCTTTTGCATCTTAACATTCTCCCGCGGCACACCAGTGTGCCGCGGCACACAGTTTGCGAGACACTGGTCTATAGTTTACGCGAGTAGTACACATTTAAATAAAACACTTTAACGGTTTAAAACGCGATATATTAGTTAAACTTATTTGAAAATGATTTTTAACTTCGGCCCGACGTTTCGGATGCTTTGCAGCAGCCGTGGTCACGGGGAGTCTCCCCGTGACCACGAATTCAAATAAGTTTAACTAGTATATCGCGTTTTAAACCGTTAAAGTGTTTTATTTAAATGTTTTATTTAAAAAAATAATGTGTTGGTTTGAGCATTTATTGAGGAAGGCTATAAAGCATATCGCCGTGACTATTAGGGGCGAAGATACAGCGGAAATGTCGAAAAAACGGGGAAAATAATTCATCCTTGTGGGTTTCTATTGCGTACGTTGCGAAAACGGTTCAAGATACTCAATAATGTATGAAATAATGATTCCTCTTTAAATAATCTAAAATAATCTTCCAATAATAATAATAATCTAAAAGTCCGTGACAGTATATGTCTATCAGCCAGACAGTATAATATATAGGTTTGCAAAAACAAAAATTGATACCCAAAATAACTATTCTACGCGTACGAAGTCGCTGACCCAACTAGTATTATATATGTAACCATTTATATTTATTTTTCCTTTAAAATGGTGAACAAGCCTTAACCACAAATTCGACGGCATATACCATCTGACAATTTAAATTCGGCCAGCATAGCATGGTGGATTAAGGTGGACACTATCATTAGAGCTTCGCACATCAGTGGTAGCTCTTCACGAATAGCTCTTCGAATAAGAGCTAATCGTAAAGTTATGTATGCAATCCCTGTACTGTATAATGCTATCATGTGCAATAAAAATGTAAATAAAATTAGTTTTCAAAAGATCGATTTTACTTCCAGTCGAGTAAGAAGTTCAGAATTTTATGCGCGTTCTAACCAAAACTTTTTCCTGGGATTCGAACCTGGCACCATGCGCCTAAAATCTAAACTCGTAGAATATCAAAAGTCCCTGTACTCACAGAATCACACCTTTATGGGTCAATTAAAAAATACTATCAGACTTTAATGTCTGTCCTCGGATGCAACAGATGCTTGTAAACAGAACAATAGGCCGTATCCCCTACACATAGCTGTTGTACATCAATGTCAACAATCTATGTAAAGATCTACACATACGACAATACTTAACAATTTACATGACATTGGAAAGAAGCCAAATGATAACCTAAGTTCTTTCAAACTTAATATGTTGTTTAGAGTTGATTCAACGATATAATATTGTCTACAAACATTTCGACCACAAAAAATTGCGGTGTCCTTGTTAGTGGGAATGTATAGCTAATAATCAACGGGCCGTGGGTTCGATCTCCGGGATGCAACAGGTTTCTATTTTTTTAACAAATTGGACTTCGTCTGGTGGTAGGAAATTCCGCCCAGGTCACTAACAACAGATAAAATAAGCGTTCACATATGAAAAAGCGATGGAATTTAATTCACCAAAATTTATTTGACGCGATTTTAAAGTTAAGTCAGTTATTTTGTATTTGTAGTTCAAATCTTATAAAATACACGTATACAGACATAGTGTGACATATTATAGCAATAATAAAAGTTATATGAACACTAATAACAATCGTATTATACATATTATGATAATTTATCATAAACAATCTTTACGTCTTCTTTCTGTCATATTGTCTAACGATAATTACATTCGCCGGAAATATCAATTCGTGTTAACTGTCTTCACGAACAATTTTTGTCTCAGTTGGCCAAGAAATGACAAAATCGCACTATAGCTTTTAGACTAGGCCTTGCGCTTTATTATGCGCAGGAGTTTCGGATTTCGAAAAATGCCATGTATTTTGGCATTCGATCATGTAGTGCACGGGGATGTACCAGATTCCACGAATCGTGACCTTGTGCAACAATTTATTAGTAGATCGGACGCAAAAATGTGACTGCAGATCAGGGATATGGGATTAAATTTTGCATAAAACCTATACAAACTTACTTCCACGTGACGTGAAACTTACGAGCCTTCGCTAATGGCAGAGATTAACAACGATGGCAAACACAGTGCCAGGGGTGGATAACAAAAATAAAAACAAATAATTTAATGAAATCTGCTGTAAATAACATTCATATACAGGCTATTGAAAAGTACAATAGCACAATAGGCCTACAACTGATTGCTACGAGTCGGTCGAGTTACCTTTGGCAATACAGCTACGTAGCGAAGGACGTTTCTTATCGCGGATTCTAATTGAATTTCTATTTTTAACAATTCTAAGATTGCGAGTTTTAATTGTTAAAGTATTATAAATCGATATAATCTTTTAAGCATTTAATTTGCGTGTGTATATTATATTATTCAATGATTATACAAAAAAATTGTCATAAAACAAAAAGTCGAACTTCTACGACAAATCTTTTAAGATAAAAACCTTATAGAATCATTTAATTACTAAGAAAAGATCTTAATTATTTTTAAATACATTAATTATGTTTTATTAAAATTTTGCTTTTATATTTCAATCATATTCGAATCAAATCTATTTATCACTTTTTATCTAAATCCATTTAGGTACTTTCGATGTTACTCTAACTTGCACACAACTTTTTTATTCTTTCCAATAGATATACAAGAAACCATACCTCACTAAGCTGGCACAAAAAACAAATAACAGAGCAACAAGTCCAATAAAACAATTCAAAACACGCGTAAAGTTAGCGGGGAGTCAAACAGTCCGCCTCCACCGGTGACTTATTACTAACTAACCTCTTAAACTTGACTTAAAACAAAGTATGGATTACAAAATCAAATATGAGCTTTGTATTTTTGACCGCTTCCAGGCCAATGGTTAAGCGAATTACCTAGTATATTGTTAAGCACGAGAGGTATTTGATTGGATCCCCGAAAATCAGAAAAGTTTCAAATAGAAAGTCTGCTCAACTTAAATTATAAAGACACAGAAATATATATACCCCAAGCACCATAAATAAGTTTATACTTAAAAGGCCGCACCATAAACTTGACAAAAAAAAAACACTTTACGTGGACAAAGGACGCGAAAATATAAAGCTATGCCTTCCTGTACATGAAATGAATATATGACGATATTTTTTATGTGGTTGTTAAAATACCTTCGACGGTGTTTGTAATGTCTCGTCTTAAAAATGAAATAGGTTTATTAAATTTCCTTATAAATTTCCTTGTCCACGGAAAATACGTACTAATGGAAGATTATAATTTTCTTTTTAAAGAATATATTTGAGACGCCATTAGTCAATGATCATCATCAATCATCAATTGAAACTGTGTGTGTACTTATATATGTCCCAACAAATATATGTATAGTACATATATATGTCCCAACAAATATATGTATAGTACTAAGTAAAATAGCGTCGCATAATAAAAAATATTCAAAACGTCCGTTTTATGTGTAAGATCACTACGGAAACATTTTTATAAATATAAAAAGGTTTCCGTAGCAATATACATAATTACTTTTTAACAAAAAATAATGAGCCCTTACAAGTAATCTATAAAAAGATTTTTATGTAAGACCTAAGGTAAAAAAAAAGTAAATGTTGAATAAGACAGTGTTTATAATATTAAATTGTGTAAGGTTTTCACGGCCATCGTTTAGCATATTAGCCCAAAAAACAATAATATGTTCATAATATTGTTAAATATAAGGACGACGTTTTATTTGCAAAGGCAACAATATAAAAAGTTATTTTTCTATTCTGAAACTATATTATATTGTAATGTGAAAGGAAAAACTGTATGGATAATATTTTTAATGATCGATACGTAGCTATATTTGCATAAACCGTATTATAGCTTATTGCACAAATATGTAAAAAATAAAAAAAAGGTAAGAGCATGATACAAAACTTGTTCTTTAGTCTGCATTCTCCATCGACGTTTCTACGAACTAAAACGTAGTCACCGAAACTTTATCTTATGAACCACATACTTATTCCACATGTAAGTTAAATAGATCTAAATTTATACATTACTTTTAATTTTAACTAATTTTTTTATTATTAATTTGAAATACTTTCAATAATATACAATTAATTTAATTAATAAAAAATAGCGCCATCTAGTATCAAAGTTCCATATTTCATGATCCAGATACAAAATAAGGTTAAATTAATGATCGTACTGCTAGATGGCGCTTTAAAGCGTCGTAATTAAAGGATTAAAATACATGAGCATCTTAAATCACCCGGCAGGAGATAAAAAAAATAGTGGTTCCAAAGAACTTACTGATATTACTTAAATATAAATGATAAATTTAAGACGTACCTCTGCCCAAAAGCACACGATGAGCGAAGAGCCGGACAGAAGAAGCGGGTAATACGCAGAGGGTAGACTCGTCGCCCACGACTCTTGGAATGCTGTCTATATGAGAAAAAGTAACGTTAGAAGTCACTTATTTACAAGTTAGACATCGTCATTAAGTATTTTAGAAAATGTAAGAGAAATAATTTATTAGTCTAGTTCTATAAACACAACATTTTCGCGAAGAATTACTTACAGGAGAAATGAAGTATGCTCCACGTATGAGCGAGGCGAGAAAGGCCACTAAGTAGAGCATCTTCTGGGTGGTCACTTTACACGCCCTGAAGAGATTCGGCGCCTTCAGCCGCCGGTACTCTGTGACGATGCATAATGTCAGCTGCACAGCACACACGAATGACACGGCGAGGAATATTCCACCAATACCTAGAAGAAACGTGTTTTTAAATAAGTAATTTGTTGTGGCCTCATCCTAGGAATAATTTGACTATTAAATACTCTCTATATTTTACGCAAGTAGTACACATTTTAATAAAACACTTTACATTGTCTCCCCGTTACCACGACTGCTGCAAAGCATCCGAAACGTCGGGCCGAAGTTAAAAATCATTTACAAATAAGTTTCACTAAAATATCGCATTTTAAACCGTTAAAGTGTTGTATTTAAATTCTGTACTAACATAGCTCAATACTTTATGGTTTTTTTTTGAAACAGAAGAGTACAGGAAAGTGAAACACCCAGCCATATAACATCTAAACATGATTCCTAATTGCTTAGGACTTTGGGATAGTTCTATTAACTATCAAAGATACTTAAAATTAAACGAAACGCAGAATCCCCAGTCAAAAATAGTAATTAAAACATAATTATCATAAATTTTGAACAAAATATGATTTAGTGAATTACCGTAATACAGTTTTTCTTATAAAATTCGTAAAGTAAAACATAACTTTTACCGTGTTGACAAGCAAGTCTTTAATCAGACTGAAGCCCAACCGCTTCTTTTATGCCCCTGGATTCGAATGCTAAATTGCCTTTCTTGCTAAACGCAACGCTATGCGATGAGTTTATTGAATCATTCACCATAGAGGTTATTCAGTTTAAGAAAAGCTTCTTACGAGGATTGACGTTTTTATTATAGGAAATGATGATATCATAGGAAGTGCTTAAAACCCGACGAATAACAAGATTATTTGCGTCTAAACTTTAATTTAATATAAATCATATTAAAACCTTATACTTCTAATGATATGAGATATCTTTGTGGTCAAACGCCTTTAACAACTGCATGTAATATTGTTTTTTACTACTTTCAGGTTAAAGATAACATTATTTATGGCACGGTAAACAATATACAGACACGAGATAAAATTACTGTAGACAAATATTGTTAGGTGAATAAAAAGTGTCTAGAAATATTTTCTACAACAGTGAAGATATCTATTCCTGTGTCTGTCTGTCCAGCAATAACCATAAAGCGTTTTACAAATGTTGTTTATCTGTTACCGCTATAACAACAAACACTAAAAGCAAAATAAAACGAATATTAAAATTGTGGATCTACGTTTGTTTTAGTAATTGTTGTATATCTTCGTGTGAGTATATTTTTTATACATACTACTTACTCACAAATTTAAAATCAAATAAAAGTTAATAATTTTGAGTTAAATGCTTTAAAACCAGTAATATTGACGATAATACAAAACAAAATCGCAGACAGTGGTTATCTGCATTGCAGTAGACGGGTTCGGCCGTCGCCATACTTTCAATGGTCTGTTGGTAATTACATTAGGCTAGATTTATCTTTGATTCAAGGTGATCGAGAATTAATTCTATAGGCCATGTTAGATATGACGGGTCGTAGATTCGATCCCCACCGGATCCAACATTTTTCAAATCAATTTATACTGTCTATAGTTTACGCGAGTAGTACACATTTAAATAAAACACTTTAACGGTTTAAAAGGCGATATATTAGTTAAACTTATTTGAGTCTCCCCGTGACCACGGCTGCTGCAAAGCATCCGAAACGTCGGGCCGAAGTTAAAAATCATTTACAAATAAGTTTAACTAAAATGTATCGCATTTTAAACCGTTAAAGTGTTTTATTTAAATCAATTTATAATTTTTCTGAAACATGTTCGACTTCGTCTGGAAATGTGGATATAAAATGGGTGGTGGGAATATCGAAATTCTGTCCGAATCACGAACCACAATCCACAGATAAAAAATCCGTGAAGTTTAATTACGTCTCGGTCTCAGTCTATGGATTTCCGAATATCCAAACCTAAACTAGGTCGACAGTGCATCTTGTTTATATGCTATAGGCTGGGGTATTTCACTTACCATCAAGTAAACACCATGCTCGTGTGTATAACACACGAGCTGCAAAATGTGTGTGCAAAAAAAACACACACATTTCGCAGGAAGGCAATTGTAGACCATTGCATTCTCTAAATATCGATTCCTTTTCAAATAGTTGAAGGCCACGTTAGAAAAGCGATCATTATAAGAAGTATTAGTGTTTTTTAGTTTATAAAAATGTCTTTAAGCCGTTAAGAAACCATAAACACTGTTCGTAGGCGTTCGTAGGCGAGTAGTACACATTTAAATAAAACACTTTAACGGTTTAAAATGCGATTTATTTTAGTTAAACTTGTTTGAACATTATTTTGAACTACGGCTGTCTCCCCGTGACCACGGCTGTTGCAAAGCATCCGAAACGTCGGACCGTAGTAACAAATATTTTTCAAACAAGTTTAACTAAAACATATCGCGTTTTAAACCGTTAAAGTGTTTTATTTAAACACGTATATCACAAACAATCTACGTAATAATCTCATTAATAATAATAGTAGGTACTTGCAGCTGTTTTTAATTAAGGTAAAAATGTGCGAAACAAATGTCAAAGATTAGATAATGAAGTGTGAATACTCAACGATTTGGGTAAAATACATGGAAATATACCGTTTGGTTTTAATCTTGTTTTGTTTGTAGATTGTAGCTTAATATTTATAGGTGACGCGGAAAACGTATTGTCGTATAAATCTTTCCTATGGTTACGATAGATTACAAAGTGAAAATGTATCTGTTATTAAGCACGATGAAAGATGTTTGAACCTCTAAAGGAGTAGGAAAGGACTATTTTAGCTTGTAGGAATGATTATAAGGAGGTAAACTTTTTCATTATAAAGTAAATATTGACCAAAACAGTAGTTGATTCTCAAATACGTTAAGACGAGTATCGTAATCAACTTAACACAAAAATTTTACATAGGTACATTAGATTTTACATAGAAAAGCTTATCTATAGATTACGCGAGTAGCACACATTTAAATACATAGAACACTTTAACCGTTTAAAACACGATATATGTATATGAGAATAATTCGCCAAATACTATCTACGACGGTACAGATCTAGGGTAAACGTCGCTAGCGTAGCACTTTTTACTTTAACGTTAAAGATACTCTCCATATTTAGTCTCCCCGTGACCACGGCTGCTGCAAAGCATCCGAAGCGTCGGGCGTAATTAAAATAATATCCAAATAACTTTTACTAATATATATCGCGTTTTAATCCGTTAAACTGTTTTAATTAAATAGAAAAGCTTTTCGGAAAAACTCATTGATTTGTGTATGTCTACTTTTGACAGCCCTCACGGTTACTCTACTTAATAGTAGTGTATTGCATTAAGAGCCTATTTTCCCCAGGATTGTTAAATATTTCTATTTAAACCTGCTGTCAGAGAATTGTTCACTTACAGGCGTGGTAAGACAGGTTGTGGCCCGCGCACTCGTCCCCCGTGTATCTGATCTCGCAGAGGCAGGTCCCGTTCATGCAGTCCCCTCGGCCGCTGCAGTCGCGCGCGCATCCAGCACCGCGACTCGCCGCCATCACGGCGTCAGCATAGTACGCCAGCAATGATCGCATCATATTATTGCTAGCGACGCCGGCCGGCGCCTGTGTGCACTGAAAAGGGAATTATATACATTAAGCAATAGATTTAAAAAAGTACTTAATATTGATTGAAGGAGCATTTTAATAACTACCTTCCTCTAATAATAACGCTCAAGATAAAAAACCATACTATTTCAAAACAACAATGACTTCATTTCCCAATCAGGCTAGTCCCCTCCCCGTGGGGATCAGGGCATAATACACCCGCCAGAACAGACAATCGAAATCAAAAGTAGTCAAAGTTTTTATTTTATATATTAGTTTGTAATAGATTTCGAGATATTTTTTGATACCTGATTTTTAATAGATAATAGAACGGTAGGCGAATAATTGTACAAAAGAAATGTTCATTGTAAGTTTATGTTTTAATTCTATTGTGTACTTCTATCCTATTAATGTAAGTGGCTATTGCCGTATTAATTGTTTAATAATAATTAAAATAATAAATGTTTAGTACCATAAGTTTTTTTTAATTTCAAATAAGTATTATAAACTGGACTTGTAATCATTTATATAGATATAAATAAAAAAATATTTATTATAAGCAAATTTTCAACTTCTTATATTTTCATTTAATCAATTATATCTTAACATGTTATTTTAAATCATCCGTTGATAAGTTTAATATTTATCATAAAATATTTTGCGAGAGTGTTTAAACGTATTATTAACTATACATATTCTGTGTATGCTACTGGACAATAAAAACAAATGTTACTCTTTTATTTTCTGTCCTACAAAATTTTATTCCGCAACTTTTAGCTTTACGATTTGTAATATACCGTCGCCAGTGAATGGCAATACAGGAAAAATCTTTGTAAACACATTTCCACTTTCCTGTTACATCACTGTGCCGGAAAATGTTTATATACTTGTGATTTCAACTGCACTGCGTATAAGTTATTGGTAAGTTATCACCAACTAGAACAAAGGTTACAAATTCGAATTACTTTCGGTTAATTTTCGTTGGTACAAACACATTGTTTCATTACACAAATGTACAGTGTATTTATGTTAAATAGAATTATTCCTGTGAACACACTACGTAAGCATATTTACTATGAAAATCTTACTTACAACACCGTACTTCTACGTAAATTACGAGTAATAATAAAAAAATGTTTTTCATCAGGTTATCAGTATAGAATCTAATAAAAGTTACGCCAATTTAACTTCTATATCAACGTTTATTGATTTAAAATGAGCAAAACGAAAAAAATATATCGAATGTTCTGTTCGAAATGGATTGGCTTAAAGTATACAAAAAATATGTGGACAACTTTGTCAAAATAGCAGATATGTTTGAAAAATAATCGAACCAATTAATCGCGATTTTGATACAAATGCATGATTAATTATACTACTTCTCGTATAGATATTTGAAATCGAAAACGTCAGTAAAAAGCAAGAATGATATCATTATATTTCGCACGCTTATGCGCAAGGCAGTTAGCAATTAAATCATCGTCGAAATAATTAATCTAGGCAGTGAAACTTGCGAAATTGATGCGAAAACTGTAGCAAAACGAACGAGCGTAGCCGAGCATACAATTTCAGCTCGAAAGTGGCCTTGTAATTACAATATGAAAAACTAATTTAATGATGACCTTCGAAACAGTTTGAAAAATAATATTACTCTAAGTATAGTATTACAACCTACCTATTATCCTAGGTAATTAATTTATCTTTGAAAGTTTCTCGGTTGTCTGGCAAAGATCGCGCTTTAGAAAACTATTTTAACGTGTACAACAAAGAATTAATAAATAAAACAAAAATTACCGAAAACCTTACACATAAGAGCCACGACATATTAAAGTAAAGCAACGTCTGTAGGCGAGCTTCAAAAGTTGCACAAAACCTTACGCAACCAACGTTACAAAAGCTTTTGTATTCAAAACAAAATAGCAGAGTTGAACGACAACTAATGAAACCTACATATTGAATAATTATATATTTTTCATAGCTGTTGAGAAATAAACTTGTTATCTAAGTTTATACAACTCTTTGTGATATAGGAACTAAATATCCCAGCTCTATAATTATAGTTACAAGCTGTGCCTGCGCCTCCGTTCGCGTAGAAAAGTTATTTTGAGCACAAAAATTATATATAACCAAACATATTGTTAACACGGCGATCAAGTTGCCATTGCAATGAATTAAAGAGTAAATTTCCTTATCTTTAAGCTTTGACGACTTGAAATGATTTTTTTACGCTGACCTTAATGCAACCGACTTGCGAATACTTACAAGTAGGTACAGGAAGGACGCGTACACAAATACTTCCCCGACGGTCATTTTTAGAAGAAGACTCTCCAATATGACGAACTTGTGCTAATCTCGCTTGGGAACTATTCTTAGGTATAACAATACAAATCTTTCCTCTTTATAATATTAGTATAGATTGATGGTAATTTCATTTTAGAAGAAAAAAGAAAATAGCTTTCTTTCTCATAAACTTTTGCACCTACGTACGCATACGTACTAGGTATTACTAATCAAAACGGCGCTACGTCAGCACTGAGGTGACGTAGCAGTGAGTCAACCTTGGATAAGCGGGCTATTTCGAATTACCATACGTGTTAGCAAAACTGTTTACATTTCACGCTGTTCAGATGTTTTAACGGACACGTACAAACACAGGTGTTTAGCGCCCTTTTAGGGTTCCGCAGTAAAGGATGCCGAACACAAAGTATTCGTATATCGATTATAAAACCGGAGAATTAATAATGAAATAAAAATAACAAATGTATGAACAATATAATAATTCCTTTTTCTGTGCATTCTACTGAGGGATAATAAATATTATAACAGTTGCCTTTAAAAAAAAATAATGACGCAAAATATTTTTAAAATTATAAATAACTAGCTGCGTCAGCGACTTCGTTCGCATAGAATAGTTGTTGTGTGCATCCAAATGTATTTTTACAAACCTCTACATCTTTATAAATTTTGGGTCCTGTCGTTCTTGCAATTTTTTTCTTAAAAGATAGTGTTGCGGACATTTTTTTCAGATCATTAAAAGAGGAATCATTCCTTCATACATATTTTTTGGGTATTTTGAACCGTTTTCGCAGCGGACGCATCTGAAACCCACAGAGATGAATAATTTCTCCCGTTTTGTTTACATTTCCCGCTGTATCTTCGCGTCTATTAGTCACAGGGCGATGTTTTATAGCCTTCCTCGATAAATGTTCTAACCAAAACAAAAATAATTTTTCAATTCGAACCCGTAGTTCTTGAGATTAGCGCGTCCAAACAAATAAACAAACAAACTTTTCAGCTTTATTAGTATAGATATTGATTGAAAGCTTTGGCCACTGTAGTTCAAAATATAATCACTAAATTGAGGTGCCGAAATTTTTGACTATCAGTGTCAAATGTAAATGTATTTTCATGTTATAATTCCACTCTTACTAAACATTTATCATTGTGATTTCGCAAAATAATTTTTATCTTTTAGAAATTTATAGTGAACAGGATTTATAATCTACACATAATATTATAGAGTCGAAGAGTTTGTTACTTTGTTTAAATGCGGTAATCTCAGGAACTACTGCTTCGAATTTAATACAATATAATTTATAAAGCAGAGGATGTGATTTGCAAAAAATAAATATAATGGCTAAATTTACTATTTCATGCGGGCGTAGTCGCGAGCACAGCTAGTAATTGTATAAGCGCGAAACAGGTATACACTGAAGAATGTAATTTAACCAACCAAGGGGCTTGACCAATTTTGATAATCCTGTGCACTGATGCGTAGAAAAAGTTATAATGTCTATTCTACCAATCTTGATTAAGAATTGTAATACAATAATAAAGTACCCTGACCCTAAAGTCACACAGATCAAAATACATACTTCATTATTCATTGGAAGTGAATCAAGGCCAAACAAATAGGAAACGAGTATTTTAATTTGCCTTTATCTATAGGATTCCAATAGAAAGAAGTAGATCCTTATCGTTGATATTTTCTTTGTTTATTGAAAAATACTGGCTCTTTCCTGATAAACATTTGCATCTTTGTTATATTCAAGTTGATTAGACGATATATTTGCAATATCAATTACATATCTTAGTTAAGATTAATATGGGAAATATCATATTCCACCTTGGCGCAATAAAATATCAAGTTGTGCCTAATTGTTAGGAGCAAAATACACGATCGAAAAGCATAGCACCGTCTTACAGAGAACCTTCACATACATAATACATTTATAATCTGTTAATATTTTCCGGCCAGTCAAAAAAACCCGGTAAAAAATAAAAGACCATAAACATTATATTCGAATTAAGAACACATCGCAAAAAGTTAAAACCCGCGTAAAGGTGAATTATCAGCGCCATTATGAACGGAAGACAAAACAGAACAAATACAATAGTGCTTTACACGAGATTCAAGTTACAGCAAGTTCTAAAAATAAGTAAAGAGCTCGAACGTGATTATTTTTTATCTTAAATTCGAGGTAATTACGCGATATTATTTCACAGAAATGAAGATATTATGTTAACTTTTACAGATTTTTTTGTAGGTTTGTATTAAAGACTTATTAACTAAAGTTAGGCTACGCTATCTGTTGGTCTTAATTGTTACATTTGTGAATTCTACACGATTTTACGAACTGAAAAGAAGAATTTACAGTCATAAATTGTAATTGCTGTGTAATTCGCTATTCTAGTACAAATGTTGTAATACGAAAGAAAACTGTAAGCTATCGTTACGTGTGCTGAGTAAACAGTTAAAAATCATATCATATTATGCTTCTATGGAACGGATGCAGAAATATCCTCTAACAAACACACAAACCAAACGTAAGAAGACATTTAGTTCAACAAACATCAAAGTTGCGTTCGGTCTAATTCCCCAACTGATTTATGTAATGATACTGTCAACATAGTACATCGAAGTGCGTCATTTTAAACTGTTTATTATTTGTATGAGTAATCCGCTGAACACGTGGCGAGTATAGGCCTCGTGTACTCGATATAGTAAATACAGGATTTGTATTTAAAACGTGTCAGGTTCTAAACTTAGTTAACCGCATCTGTTGTTGAACAACGACTATATTTTATCTTTGGAAACCATAATACTTATTTTTCACAGTGCACATGATGGCCCTATATACTTACATTATATAATATATATTATCTTCAGTAAAGGAAGGTTTTAAAACCATAATTTGCTGGTGGTCATCCGAAGTACTATTGAGCATTTTATGATAAAATTCTCCGAGTTCAAAATATGTTTTTAGCAACATTTTCTTTTATTAATCTCAACAACGAGTTCTTGCAAAATAAAACATTAATCCGGCGTTTTTTTGAGAATGAGAATAATTAAAAATAATAGAGAACGTGTAAATCATGTTAATGTTTCCTTGTGGTTGCTAGGGGCGTTTCTAGGTTTTTACGGTTTTTTTTATTGGTAAAATGTGGAAGCTAACCCCAGCTTTAAATACACCAAACTTAAAGAATGGAAAGATATTGTAGTCCATTAATTATATTGTCTATGGTTTATCAGAACATAAATTTATAACTCAGTACTTAAGTACTTTATTTACTCAGAAAACAGACGATTTTCCCACATTTCTTTCCAGAACTCTAAAATATAATAAGAAAATAGCTAGTTATTTCTTTCCAATGAGCATTTATTTTCGAGGAAAACATTTTTGTACAAAGCCTTTAGACACTTAGATTTCACAGTAAAGGTTCGAAAGAAATGAGAGTAAAATTAGATTATAATAAGATATACGCGCAGTGTCATGTGCAGACGAAGTATTGTATATTATGTATACACTTGTTTGTTTCACTTCAGGACAATGTATGAACAATGTCTGTTTTTTCAAGTATCAAAATATTACTGATTACACCTTATCAGCACGATAAGGGTCCGACTAATAGAGCGGGGTAAATTATTATTTGTTTATTCGATGTACTTTTTGTATGAAATCTATAGACTCAGTTTCAGTAAATATGGATGTATAAAATATATAAGAGAATGTGAAAAATAATTGTTGATTTATACAACAGTCATATTATCAGGGATTTTGTACACAAAAGATAAGATTATCCTATTTCTCTATTTGTAGAGAAACAAAAGCGAGAAGGTTACGCAAATAAGAACACCGACATAGAAGAGTTAGCAAAGTACGGTATGTGTAACATGTATTTTCTAAACTTTAATATTAACATCTCGATATTATTAAAAATTATTTTATTCGCTCTCTATCGTTCCCAATGCGTCCATACTTAATACAATACTTCCTAAATATTATCAATTTACTTACAGAAACACATTCTTTCCATAACTCTTGGCAATCCACGGGACATGATTGTGAAATACAAGACGATGCCAACAAAATTGCCGCCAAAAAACACCGACAACTATTTTCAGCTACGACACAAATCACCAAACTATGTTCGAGAACAAATTAAGTAACCTCAAAACTAATTTCCGTATAAAATAATTCCAAAGCACTTTTATTTTTGTTTTTTTTTAATAAATACAGATACAGATCGCCACAGGTAATATTCAATCACAGACGAGCGTGCCACGTTTGCGTTCTAAAATCGAACTATCAATTAAAATTTTCTGCGCACAAACAAGTCCTTCTAAACGTATAAAAAAACAAAAGAACGTTATCTATATGATAGGGCGTGACGAGCACCCGTTCAGAACTGCGCCGGAGTCCAACCGCGAATCGGTAAATCAAAATCGGTCAAGGCTGTGTCGGGTCGAGAGATAATGGTTCTGTGCTTCCGTAGCTGTACATTAAAAGTAAAGCTGAAACACAAAAAGCTTTTGGTGTTTTATATTTTATATGTATAAAAAACCACTAAGAAATAAAGTTAATTAAAGCTATCGTTGTTAATTTTTTTCCCATTCTCTATTAACCATACATTGCAGAAATAACCAGCCCCTATTACAAAAAAGAACGAGATAAAAAATACCATTCTGTATTTATCCAAAGCTACTTATTTTGTATACCTACGCCACGCGTTGTTAGCCATAACTAACGTTACATCACAGCGAAGAAAGTTGTGTCTCCCTACTCCAACTACGCAATCTACTAAAGGGCTTTAAACGTAACTACTGCCCTAGGCGTTACGATTTCAAATGCTTGTTGGGAAACGAAGAGTCGTTAACTTTTTAACCTAAATTCCAGCCGGTTTTCATTCATCTGTTTGTACTCAATGCAGTCTTAATTTAGATTAGCTGGTCATCAACATCGACCACAACAGTTCCCACAGTTGGGACACCTCGTGGATGTATTAACACCATGTGGGCCACAAGTTAGCAGACTTGATGGTAGGTGAAATACCCCAGCCTATAGCTTCTAAACAAGATTCGCTGTCGACCTATTGTGGCTTTGGATATTCGGAAATCCAAAGACTGAAACCGAAGCGTGATTAACTTCTCGGCTTTTGCTTCTGTGGACGGTGGTTCGTGACCCGGGCGAAGTTTCGATACTACTACCGCCTATTTAATATCCAGCTTTCCAGAAAATTCTAACATGTTTTAGAATAGATATAAATTGAAAAATTAAAATCATGTTGGACCGATGGGGATCGGACCCATGACCCGTTAATTAATGGCCGTATATTGCTACCGTTACACCAACGAGCCAATCATATAGTATTGTAGTTAAAAGCATCTATATAATAGCGTTTTGTTTGTCAACCACGGGACCCTAAAAATCCTATTTATGATGTATTTATTCATATACTAAAGCAATGAGACGCCTTTGTTCTTGAAGTTTTAGAGCGATGACTTTTGACACTTGCAAGAACAATAAGTTCGTTCGAGCCATAAATCACCAAATTTATGTAAAATAATCGCTAGATAAATTAACATTACAGTCTTTATTACCAAGAAATTACAATATACCTACTATGTGACTTTTAACCCTGAGTCAAATAGCTAATTATAAAAGATAATTCAAAGAGTATTTTGATGTCAGCAGTTTTTTGGAAATGTATAAAAAATAACGATTTATCAGTGGTTAATTAGAATTTAATAGAGTATAATAATGTAAAATCGACTTACGCGCTTAAGCCAATTAGAAAAAAACATATCTACGTGAATCTTATCAGCCAGATCACAAAGACATATAGACACTAAGTTATTTTGTCTGCATTTAGATCATAATTATATATAATTAATAATAATATAAAAATGATATTGAAACACGTTAAAGGACTTCATAGGCGATAACTATCTGTGTAGGTAATACAACAACGAGGAGCTGTTCGCCGCCCCCAACTTCATGGAAAAAGCTCGACTTCGCTGCACCGGCCACCTCAAAAGAATGGAAGAGCACTGAAGCATTAAACATTCTTGAAATCCCGAATGGACACCGACCCAGACACCGCTGAAACCCCGTCATCTTTATAAATTTAAGCTTTTAGCCACGACGTCGGTCTCGTTCTTTCCCGTCGTTCTTGCAAGTTAATCTTAAAAGATAGACATATAGCGTCGCGGACTTTTTTTAGATCATTTAAAGAGGAATCATTCTTTCATACACATTTTTAGTCGTTTTCGCAGCGTACGCATCTGAAACCTACAGAGGTGAAAAATTTCCCCCGTTTTTTTCACATTTCTTGCTGTATCTTCGCTTGTATTCGTCACAGGGCGATGTTTTATAGCCTACAACCTACCTCGATAAATGCTCTAACCAACACAAAAAATTTTTTCAATCGAACCCGTAGTTCCTGAGATTAGTGCGTTAAAACAAACAAACAAACTATAAATACTAATGTCGTGTTATTCACGTTAAAACATCGCCCAGATTCATGCTAATAAAATTTATTGATATCGATAAAACAAAACAGATTTAAAATATGTTCCGAACTGAATAGACTAAAATGAATTTAGTACACTACTTACTACATAAAAGGCGGGCTCTGGTAGTGAGGTTCAAACAAAAAATTCCGAGACTTTCTCCGTACAATCACGTTTGTAATCTTGAGCCAAGAATTATAATAACTTGTAAGACAATGCCAACACATAAGACGGGAACAATGCGTTGATATGTCGGGCAATACGTCATAAATATTATGATATATGACCATTATTACATCGTCGAGAATGTTTGTCTATGTTTAATTCATCTGACTCAATCCACTATTATTATAAAAGCGAAATAATATGGGAACTATTGTAATACTAGTTGAGCCCCGTAACTTCGTAATTTTGCCGTTTATCGCGCCCTAAACTTTAAAAATGGACAAACATGATGCGTCGGACTCTTTTCGAAGGCAAATTAAAGGGTAATTCATATTTAAATAAAACAACTTAACGGTTTAAAACGCAATATATATTAGTTAAACTTATTTGAACATTGATTGTTATCAATATTGATTGTTATTATTAGTCTCCCCGTGACCACGGCTGCTGCAAAGCAATCGAAACGTGGGGACGTAGTTAAAAATAAAAAAAAGTGTTGTATTTAAATGTGTGGGAACTACTCGCGTAAACTACAGACCGTATTTAGTACATATATTTCGCGTTTTCAAACCGTTAAAAGTACTTTATTTAAGTGCGTACTATTTGCGTAAACTTAGACGTACGTTGTGTTTACGGAATACCTCTTGTTGTAAAACAGTCTTCAGTCGTCAGCATTATTCTGGATATTTAAAATTCTTAGAGCCTTTGTTCATGTTATAAGCGATTAAAAGTCATTGACACTAGAAAGTGTCTAGTACGTAAGTGTTTATTATGCGATGTGTTAAAATAACTAAATTCCTTTTACTATAGGAAAATGCCCTTAATAAAGGCCATCTCAATAGCTGAATGGAGCACTGCATTCAGCGACCCTTCGAATTCCCGGAATTCAAAGTAGCTAGTTTCGCCGGCACAGAAATGTGATTGATTGGTCACATTATGATCGACAAGCAACTAGGTAGTTGGCCACTTACTTAATCGAACAATCATGAGAAATAGGGAAAGATCTGGATTTTCTTTTTTTCAGACCTTAAGTTTGGTTATGTAACAAAGTTCGTTATATGTCTGAAATTTTTACACGACGATTTTTTGCAAGGCAAGGCTAGAATTTTAAACATACGTATAGATACGTATGTTAGATTTTAAGCGATAATGACATATGGGTTAGTCACGGGTTAATACGAGTGTTGAAACAATCGATTAATTATCATTTATGATATTGATAAATTTTCAAGTCTTATACATATATACTTAATTTAAAGTATCTACACAATGCACGGTAATCCTACGTGTTCGGTATGTGTTTGAAGCAGAAATGTATAAAACTCTACCCCAAATTACCTAACGCAATAAAATATTTTAAATTACAGAAAGACGAACTAGGTACTGAAATCTTATAGGGTTTCTGTCTCTTGGAGAATACATACAGCCTAACTGTATTTATTATTAGGCCACTCTGCCTCTAGAAACCTGATATATGGTGAGTGGGTTTCCCTCTAAAACTGAGGAATTGTACTTACTGCCCTACGTGACCGAAACACGTCTTAGTACGAGTTTCAAATCCATCTCGAGGTAAGTTTATGCTTTTTATATCTGACCTATGCAGGTCGGAGTTATGAAAGCCGGATGACAGCAACTGCATTTTAAGAATTAAAACAGCAAATAAAACAATACTGTTTCTGGAAACAATACACGATAACCTTGGGGTGACGCGATTAATTAGTGTAAACGGTTGTTCTAAATCGTCAACAACTTTCAGTATCTATTGTCGTAACTGCTCTTCTTTAACAGATTACGTAGTAGACTAACATTTAAAGTTTAGATGTATTTTGTCGAAGTCGTCGTAAGCAAAATGTTTTTGAAAATGGAAGCATTTTTTTAAGAAAGAGAAAAAAGGTTACTATTGAATAAATATATATTCTTTTAATCCTATAGTTTTAAAAGACTTGCTCAGGAAGAAGTAATTACACTCCGTGAGTGTAAATAAGTATATGACAGGATTATACATCTATACATGTAAGAAGATAATTATATGTACAATCAAACAGATATATTGATAGTGCCTAGTTTTTTAGGTTCAATAGAAAATTGACAATATTGGTTATTCTATAATGTAATTACACTCTTGGATGTACAAAAAATAATATTTAAAATCTGACATATTGCAATATGGATTATTATCATCAACAATAACACAATAGGTATTAGTCAGTGTCAATAAACGAATATTATCACTAATTATACCCAATTATCTTTCAAAATTCAAAAATCAACAACGAGTATAAAAATTTCTTGGTATGGAAGTGTTGACTTGTCTTAACTTGTCAAAAATATTCTTCCAATCCAATAAGAAATGTTTCTTTATATTTATATAGTGTTTTAATGGTAAAGATAAAAAAAAATCCAAATAAAAAGAGAGTCATAAGAATGACAAACATCAAAGTTATCATTATCATAAGTTAAAACAAATTTCTTAGCCATTGTTTCATTGTAAATCATATTTAACATGCTTACAGTAAAAATGAAAAAATAATAACGATGAAAATTCAACTTTAATACTAACTATTAAGAGAGAATGCTGAAAAGCATTTATTATCTGTAAGTACTCATGCACTAAGGCTGCACCGAGTCAGGTCATATCAAGTCAACAGTCGGAATTTAATTAATTGAACTAGATCTTGGTTTTAGATCTATTACCACAAGCTAACTTGCATTTAACTGAATGCTAATTAGATAGAAAAGAAATAAATTTCTATCTTTTAACTTAGAAACAAACACCTATGTTAGTCCTGTTCAAATTAGCTAATGTTGGAATGAGTTTTTGATTAAAAAAGGAAAGGAGAAAGATTTCTTTTGTTTAAAAAACCTTCTTGTTTTAGAAAACCTATAAAACATATTTTAAAAAAGATTCTAGTTAACAGCTATAGGTAATAATGGGAAAATAGAAGGGTGTATATTACTGTTTTTATAGTAATATTTTATATAATATATAGTAAAAAATAATAATAGCATTAGACGATAAGTACTTACAAAGCCCGCTGAATGATGTCCACTATATCACAAGACTGAAGGAGAATGTAGCAGTTCCAATGGTATACTTAAAAAAGAAATCTATTAATCTCCGTGCCACGCAAATATGTTTTTAGGGCGCAGATCGGAAACACTCCATTACAATCACTTCCTCGTCCATAAACACTCTTCTCTCAATTTCGTAACACAAATACGAGAATAATTACTCTGGGTCCATACTTTCCTTATAAAACGATCGCGAAATATTATATTCAAAGACTTTATAGCTCAGTTTAGACAAATTGCTTTACGTAGCAATAAAATTTCGAAGTCGATAAACCACTAAATTATGATGAATATTAGCAATCCTTAAAATCTGAACAAAAAATATTTTATTGTTCTTTTTGCTACTAATTAAGCACTGGTGTTGCCTGAACCGTGACTCGTAATTTAATCGAATCATTTTACAATTTTCAACTCCGATATCGACATTTACAATGAATATTACGTAAATAAAATAAAACAATACAATAAAAACATTTTTAAAACTCTGAAAAATAAAAATCTTAAAATAGTATGGTGAAAAGTTAGTATCGATTCTTAGGCAAATACGCACAATCGCTAAACTCTGTATTCGCAGTTCGCACATAAGGCAACATGGAATTGACAATTGACATATTGCATATTCTTGTCATATATCAATGTCAATATATTTTTTTATACGAGCTACTAGTGTTGTTAAAATTTGTTTGTACCGATAACAACAGATAACAACATTTTGGATGAAAGTCATAGTATTGTTGTGTGTACAAGTTTTTTTTGGATTATGGAAAAGTAAATAATATGTTGTTAGAAAGGGATGGTATATTATAGAAAACATTTTACATTTAAATATTTTGTAGGTTGCTACACCATGATTATCTTCACATGCGCATAACTCCTTATAATGCCATATTGATTATTATATCTACTACAAAGCTTAAAAATAGAAAGTATTTATAAAGGGTAACCGGATATTATAATGGTATACAGACCAGCCTTACTTTTAGGATTCATCACAATGTTATGTATTTTTACAAAAGGAAATGGTGAAGACAATGTGGCCACATTTACCTTTAAAGAGTTTCAATATAAAGATTCGCCGAAAAATGTTAGTACCTTGTTATTTACTATATTATCAAAAAAGTAATAAAAACCGATTGCCAACTCGTAATAGTCAATAATATTAATCCTGTTTATTTATTTCAGGAAATGATATTTCGCGAATATGAAACTGCTTGTGAACAAAGTAGAGTTTGTACTGGATTGAAAGGTTTACAACGCACTCATTGTATAAGCGAATGTGTGTCACCGTCTTGTTACAGAGAAATTTATCAAGCAGACCCTGTGCGTTAAAAGTGTATCCTTCGTGGTGGAAAAAATATAAGTTACCAACATGAATGTTACGCGGAAATAACAACATAATTAATTATTCTATTTTAGTTGGAGGAAGGCGAAATTGATGTACGTTTAAACTCATTTAAGGGCTGTTTTATACAAAGAAGTGGACGCACGAGAAATTGATTTCGTTCGACTACAATATCTTCATTAATCTTGTTTGTCAATAAGATTATTAAAATACGGCGGAAAATTTTATTTACTATTGCAGTATGTTTATAAAAGTTATATATTTTTTTAACAATCAAATATTATTTTAGAATACAAAGATAGGTTTATACTATTTATTAGATTGCTTGTTTTTTTACAGATTTTTACGGGCAGTACAATGCATGGACGCACTTTGTTCATAACGCTTCTGCAATTACAAAAGAAAATATGAAAAAGGTAAAAAAGATGGATGACAGGAAAAATATTATAATTTCATTTTTATTAAAATAATCTATATTCATTAAATTTCTCGCTCTTAAAATTTTTACATATATTTTTAAATTACTGTGGTTGTGATAATAATATTGTAATGTACTTTAAAAACTTAAAATCGCACAACTAAGATCTCGTATTTGTAATTTAAGTTTGCAATAATGTGTAATAAACGTTAATTTTTTTTCGTATTGTTAATAAATGTATATTATAGAATAACTAAAATGTGTCTCAATGTATTTTTGATGCGTGGGCACATGCTATTGTCTTATGCATTACTAGATGTGCCAGCGACTTCGTCCGCTAGAATCGTTATTTTTATCATTTAAAGAGGAATCAATCATTTATACATATTTTTTTGGGTATCTTGAACCGTTTTTGCAGCGTATGCCTCGGAAATCCTCGGATATTGATAAATAATTTTGCAATTTTTTTTTCTCATTTTCCATTGTATCTTCACTTGTAATAGTCACATGACTGAGACTTAATATTACGCGAAATAACATTTTAGCTATTTTGGGTGTAAAATAAGATGTTTCTCTTATTTTACACCCACCACTACAAAAACATAACAGGGTGTTTCGGCAGATTTTCTATAATTTCATAAGTTTCATTTAAAAAATATCGATTCAATAATAATTGAATAACCGATAATGGTTTTTGTGAAAAGAAAAAATATTTCCCTAGAGCGTGAAAGGGATAATAATACAGTAATGAGAAACATCAGTATAGTTATCACATGCTATTAATAAATTAGATATTCGTATAAAAAATATACATCTGCTTATTTCTTGTGCATCCTTTATCTAAAAGGTTGTGATATTCATATACTAATGTGCAAATATAAACTACCGCACTAAAGTAAAGCACAGCCTTACAATATAATAAAACCGGTGTTAATGTTGCCAATATAATGTTCAAACCAAAAATCGATTATTTTGGACATCCCTATGTTCTTATCATTTCACTTGCCATCGTGCGAAGCGGTGTAGTGAGAAAATAAAGAAATGGCTTCCTTGTGTAGACAAATTGTTCGCGGAAATGCTATCAAAAGTGTTCTGTTTTCCTCTGCTCGGCGGGGATTTGCGGATAAAAGTAAGAAAATAAATTATTATTTTTTCAAATAACTTCGCCATATCTGTCAAAATTAAGTTACGTAATGTCAAAACTTATATGTAATTTAGCCCAAAAATGTATTTATTACCAACATTTTTAACTTGCGTGACTTAATTTTAATGTATTAGAAATATCTCTCATAATGGTTTTAAACTGGGGTGTGTAAGAATATTATTCCAATGAGATATATACTTGTTTGTAGCAACCTTGCCACACTAGATTGAAATAGCTTATTTTTGTTTTCGCTATAAGTTCGCAACATGATCAGTATTATTTCCAATAAACCAAATATTTAATGAAATAAGCAGAAAACCTGATATGTTACTGTTTTATGCATTCTTTAATATGTAAGTTAGGTTAGGTTGTATCTTATCATACTTATTTTAATATCTGGAACATGATAATATTGATTTTTACTCATAGCTCCTTATGTAGAGCAAATAATAATATGTTTTAGTTTCAATTTCAAGATTAGTGTGTGATCCTTAGTTGGATGAAAAATATTTGTTAAGCATGATTTTGAAAAAAAAATGTACTAACTTAATATAATTAATACCATTAATTTTGTAGACATCTTAATCCTAAATCACTAGACATACATCTGCCCTTGACTGCACACATAGGTCACAAAGAGAAGTTACACACAGTATGTTGCACTATTGTAAATGATGACCCTCTGTTCTATCTATATGATTTAAATACAACACACTCCTCATTTTCTTTTAAATATATGTTTAAAAGTTTATTGAATGTTTTTTAGAAGTAACATTAATGCTATGGTATATATTTTGTCTCTACTGTTGCCTAATTCTTATATTTCTTTGGGTCTAGTTTTTATTTTATTTATTAAAATGTTAGATTAATTTTGAAAAATTAATAAATATTTTACTTCATGTTGCTTACTATTTATTATTATTCCTCTATACAACAGTGATGGCAGATCCCTTAGAACATGCAACTGGATTGGAGAAAAAAGAATTGTTAGCATTACAATCTGGCAATGATGATCCTTTCAATATGAAGGTATTGAAGAAGGCTGCAGGAACCCGTGACAACCCCACACTTGTACCATCATGCTTTGATGCTCGTATTGTTGGATGTATATGTGAGTATATTATACAAAACTTCCTAATGTAGTTTACTCTTGTCATAAATACAGTGTAAACTCCATGTAACGTCACTCTATTTAACGACAAACTCTCTTAAGCGTCGAAATTAATTGGCTTTGGTTGGTTTAGCTTGTTTTTCATACAATGTTTCTTCTCTCCATTTAACGACAACTCTCTATAACGCCATAAAATGCACAGTCCCTTCAGTGTCGCTATATAGAGTTTACACTGTATGATCATATAAATATAAAATTAATCAAAGGTTGGTTTAACTATCATAACATTCAAAATACCTAATAAATTACATCATTTTCCTTGAATCTTCCATAAGATATATAACATTTTACTAATAATTTTAACTCGGTCATGTAAATTGTAGTCTTATTTTTGTCTTTATGTATGATCTTTGTAGCTGCAGTTTTATGTAAATGCCATGTTTATTTCCACAACCCATGAGACAATCCATGAGAACCCCTGTATGTCATACAGGGGTTCTCATGGATTGTTTTATACCTTGGCCATTGTTATCTTAACTAATTATTACTTATAGAATAGGTTGTGTTTAGCACATTTCAGCTAAAATGTTTAGTCATTGGTATTTACATAAAGCATGCATTATTATAAATCAGACATTTATCAATATGATGGTGTCTGGGAGTAAAATTCTAAATTAAGACTATGACATGCTTTGTAAGAAACCATTCATTTAAATAAAACACTTTAACGGTTTAAAACGTTAGCGATATATTAGTTAAACTTATTTGAAAATGATTTTTAACTTCGGCCCGACGTTTCGGATGCTTTGCAGCAGCTGTGGTCGCGGGGAGACTGTCTTCCCGTGACCACGGCTGCTGCAAAACATCATTTAAACCGTTTTATTTAAATTAGTACTACCCGCGTAAACTATAGACAGTACTTAAGAAACCATTCATCTTTTGTCAAACATACTTTACAATACAAATTGAATTGAATGAATAAAAATTTCAGGCAGATAATGTAGTACTGTTGTTATCCAGCGTCTTGCTAATATATCTTGCATTTCTATTTTCAGGCGAAGAACACTCTACGAGTATTAACTGGCTTTGGGTACACAAGGTAATAATAATTTTGAGATTTGCAGCCAAAATGTAAAGATATTACTCAATACTAATATAATTACTTAATCTGTTTTCTTTTCTTTTCTAGGAACACCCTCGTCGCTGCGAGTGTGGACATTGGTACAAATTAATTGAGAAGACACCATTGTAAATGCAATTATTAGTTAACAATTAGTAGTGTTTATTATCTGCAATAAATGTACGCAATCGATCGGCGCACTGCGTTCCGTTCTACGATTTCAACGCAAGTGTACTTTAGATCATTTTGAACGAAATCAAAGAAATCATTAAATAACTCTAAGCATAACCAGTGTTTCATTCAAATTTCAATAATTCTTACCTACAGTGTTGTGTTGTTATGAGTGTTTAATTTTATGTAGCTATTAATTAAAGTATTAATAAAAATGTTTGAATTTTATTTGAATAGTAAACCCTTTTATATTTCTTTGTAGTAACAACTTTAAAGATTATTTACATTGAATAACTTAATCTTCCCTGTCTGAATTTATTGCAACCACATTATAGTAGAACCAAATGGAAAAGTGATTCCTCGTAAAAAATATTATTTGTTACATTATAGCTAATTCATTCGTACTTACTATTGGAATTAATGGTCCATTATACATATCTACTAATATATAAAGCTGAAGAGTTTGTCTGTTTGAGCGCGCTAATTTCAGGAACTCCGGGTTCGAATTGAAAAATATTGTTTGCGTTGGTTAGATCATTTATCGAGAAAGGCTATGTAAAGCATCGCCCTGTGACTAATAGAAGCGAAGATACAGCGTGAAAAGTGAACAAAACGGGGGAAATTTTTCTATCCTGTGGGTTTCAGTTGCGTACGCTGCGAGAACGGTTCAAGATAACTAAAAAATGTGTATGAAATATTTATTCCTCTTTAAACGACGTTATATGTCTATCTTTTAAGATTAGTTTGCTTAGACGCGATCGACATCGCGGCTAACAACTTAAGTTTATAAAGGTTTGCAAAACCTAATTTGGATGCCCAATAACGATTCTCGCGGTCGAAGTCACTAGCAGCTAGTTTAAAAAGAAACATTTAAAGCAACATTTGGGAAGTAGAAATAACATCCACATAATATGCAAATGAATGTATAATATTTATATTATAAAATGTATAGATATTACTTCTGAATTTTTCACCCAAACACCTAAGTGCTAGGTCGTATAAAGAAATTAAAAAAGAATTCATATTCCGACAGTCAAAGTCAAATTAGTTTACAAAATGCACTTCAATTAGTTCAAAATGTCATCGCCGGTTAATGTGAATAACAACATATTTTGCTACATTGTATATCAATACATTTATTGTCTGTGTGTAATGTTTTTCTTAATACAATTATTACTAATCGCGCACTGTTGTAAGAAATATCATTAAGCTTTTAAAATGTCACGTAAGTAAATATTAAACCCTCAGTGAAAATTTATATTTATAAATTAATCTGCTCGTTGAATTTACATTCCCACACACATCTTTCAGGCTATAAGCATATGTATATCGTAAATATACACATAGCCGAAGGATTTCACGAGGACTGCGAAGATTTGATACAACGTTGCCTCTGTTTAGGAACATTAAATTATATCACATTTTGTAATGTCTGGAAGGAACTGGGTTTTAGATATATTTACCAGTAAGTATTATATATAAGAATTTGTTATTTCTGGCTAAATGGTCTCAATGTAGTTGAAGTAATAAATCTACATTTTGGTTTTACTTTGTTAAATATAGCACTAGTAAGTTTTATTTAATATTACTTTCAACTCTTTACAGAGGGAGAACATTAGGTGCTGAAATAGCTGAATTATCAGAAGAATGTATTGAAGTAGCTAAAAGGTTTATGTTTGTTAAAACTGAAAACTTTAGGGTAACTATTTAATTATCTGAGAGTTATGAATGACACCACCATTTAAAACTGTACACTCCATATTTACATTTCCAGTTCTGAGAATAGGGCTAACTCACAGCTAAATATTTGTGTTTAAACATAGTTTTTTATTCTATTAATAACACTGACAGAAGACCATGCGATAAGTAGCTGCTTACCATTCTTCGAGGAAGTTCTTAGATCATAAATATAAAACTCATTCAAACATAGTAAATGGAAAATTTTATCTTGAAGCTTCCAATTTTACACTATATTTAATAAAAATGAAAACTTTGCAGGAATCATTGGCTGGCCTTTATCTAATGTATGCTTTGCTAACTCAGCAACCATACCCTAATTTTGCCTGGCTTCGTATAACACCTGATGATGTTTCAACCATTAAAGAACTTGAAGCAAAAGTGAGACAGCACAAACAGCCAGATGCATTATATATTTTAGGATGCATTCTTACAAAATATACACAATACCATGCTGTAGAAAGAGAGAGGGGCTTTGATCCACCTGTGAAGAAGTATTTAGATGGTAAACAATAACAATTGAAGTATTGGGTTTTTTGCTGTAATTTCCTTTAAAACTTGCTAATATATAAGTTGTCTTTTAAAGTGGTTGAAAAGAGTACAAGGTTATAATGAACACAGTTATGAAATAGTTTTGGTAAAACAGGAGACCATTGTTGTTTTAGATATATAATTAATTTGTTCACTGCACAATTTCAAACATTATTTCTTTTATGTTTTAGGCTGTCTAAATATAAATCAAAATGGAATAAAAGTAAATGGAATATTTAAAAAGCAAAATGATGAACTGGATATGCTCAAAGAGTTGAGCACAATTGCTAGAAGGTATACACAATGCAGAGATGCTGTTAATGGTAAGGCAAATTTTTTTTAAGCTTTAATTATAAGAGAACGCTTTAATTAAAAGAGATATTGTATTATCCATATTATAAACAGAGAGGTTATTTATGTTATTAATTGAAAAGTTAAAATTAAATATGAATAAAAATAATTATATTTATATTTCTAGGCAAGAATAAGAAATACGTAAATGAGAACCTTCCAGTTAAGCTATCTTCATCTCTTAAAAGTGTTATCAACGGATATGAGGTTAAAGGTGATTTTTTCTCTATATGTTCTATTTTATTACTTATTATTTCTATTACTTAAATGCACTGACCTCAGATCCAACACACTACAACTGATATGAACAATGATTGTAAATGGTAAATTTCAGTAACAGTAAAACTTTTTGAAACAGCTTTGACAATTATGTTTTTCCAATAAGTAAAGAATAATATAAATATCATTGCTTAATCAAACACAAACTCTAATTTGTAACATAGCTACTTACGTTATCATTTCTGAGTTAGGTACCTGACACAGCTAACAATGAATACATTATGATCTCAGCATTCATTTCTTGACTTACTACAAACTATATTTTAGTTATAAAACTTCTACAAGTAACATATTTGTCCACTATTACAGATATTACAGAGACAGAAGCAAGGTCTAATGTGGTTCAGTCAATCAAACAAAAAGCTATGACCAGCTCTGTAAACCCTCTCTCACATTTAATGACAGCAAGAGATAAGTATGTACATTATTACTCCATATATTATGTTGTGTATTTTATGGTAACAATGATGTAGAGACTATATTTTTTAAGTTGGGGGAATTATATTTTAGTTAATGGAAAGTTTCAAACACCATAAACCAACCTGTTCTCCATAAGGCTTAAGATCCTGATAATTTACAAGTAATACCACTAACAAATAGGAGCACATATGTATAGAACTTCTGTTAATTAATTAATAATATATTTCAATTCCAAAAAGGAAATAAGATTATTTCTTTATTATTACTTTCACAGGAAAGAGAGAACCAGCTCAAAGAAGAAAGAAAGTGGAACCGTCCCATCAACCATTTCGAAAGCCTCGAGGCGAAAGGAAGCACAAACACTGAAAACGGCAGACTTTTTTACAACTACCCAGTTAGATGAGGAAGATAGCGACACAAACACAAATGATGAAGGAATAGACAAGACAATTCCTAATAAGGTTCCAGTTAGCTCAGATGACGAATCTTCAGTAAAAATACACAGTTTAAAACCAATCAGAGCATATAAGAGGAAAACAATCAACAGTTTATCTCGCACTGGTGATAATGTTGTTGAAAAAAGTGATAGTACATCAGATAGTGACAGTGATGGTAATCAAAAAGTATATAGGCAAGGTAAAAATATGAAAATTAGCAAATTAGATGATAGTAACAAGAGTAAAGCTAATGTGGAAACAGTAACTAATGCACCATTTGATATAGTAAATAAAACTGATACTGATGTAAAAGCAATACATGTCACAAAGGAAGTGTTACCAATAGTCATTCAGTCTGATGAAGGGGAGAAAAAATGTGAAATTGAAATTATTGACTATGCAAGTAATAAGGAAGTACCTGTTAAGAAAATTCTTAGTAAAATTCTTGTTTGTGCCAATGATTCTTTGTCTGGTAAAAATTCAAAGTAACTTTTTAATTTTGTATTTGTTATATAATAAATTAGTATACTAATACCAATTTGTTGTAAAGTATAGATGCTACTACTAAAATGGGGAATGCCTATTTTAGGCATTTGGATGAAAAACTCAACAAAAATATTGATACATTAAAAAAACAATATTATTATAATTTTTCTGTTAATATCTGTTAACAAATTGGTCACATTATAAGAGTGGATATTTAGTTGTTCAGAAAATCCCCGAGTAGGAATTCCCCAGTTTGTTAAATAATAAATATCAGATCTCATAAAAAAGGTGATATGTAGTATTCTTCTTAACTCTATCTTATAGACATTACTACTGTATTTAATTCTAGTTTCTGGTCAAAATCCACAGTAAAAATCCATACTGTACTACACATACTTTTATTTCTCAGCTTGTTATAATTATTTTGTACAAACAAAATGTATAAAAATTATAAAATACAGATCATTAAACATAGTACTAAAAAATTCGTTAACTTAGGCCACTTTTTACAACTCATTATTTTTTTAATACAAAGAAACTGTACTTAGTAAAAATGGCATATAAAGTAAAGGCAAGCACAGAAGTATTAAAGCTAACATAATCACACTATAATATACTTGGAGTATAGCTAATGTAAACAGCTGTCTTGCTCCTTGAAATGAAAGTGATTGACACCTTTGTTTTTTACCTACATAACCTTCAAACTTACCATGTAATCTGACCTAAAATCATTACTCTAATGAAGATTAACAACAGATTAGAATTAAAAAAATATTATTTATCATTTTCTTTGGTGATCAATCAACATCATTTGCTGACCATTACACCCATTTCACATTTCTGCCTTCATGGACGATTTGGATTACCAAACTCTCATCACAAAAAGATATTTAGATAAGGTTGCATAGATCTTCATACTTTTCATAGTACTATAACTGTTCTTAGCTATATAAAACTAGACTATCACATTTAATAACACTTGTCCTACTTGGGGCATATTTTAACACTTGCACAATTTTAATGTGTTTCTCATTCTATGTTTAAATGGATTATTTATACAGAAGAAGAGAATATGATCTTCATTATATAAGAAATCTTTTTTTTACACAATTATTCAAAATAAAATTCATTTTTAAGTAAATATGTTGAAGTATATAACGTAGGATAGAAAACTCCTTTAACCTAACCTTTTTAATGTAACTATAAAAAAAATTATTGACTTATTTTGTCAGATCATACCATAGTTGTCAAGGGATACCAAGGTAAGCTTTAACAATTTTCATTTCTCTCAACTATCGCTAGTTCATCATCTTCCCCAGACGTATTGGTTTTGGCTTCAATCTGTGCTATATTTGCATCAGATGACCCATTACTGGAATCGTGGGATCTAGGGCTAGCACTACTCTTCCTAATATACAAGACGTTTGAGTCTAACCTATTATGGTCATTAAATGGTATTCCATAAATACTACCGTCCGATATTCTGTTTAGCTTGTGGATCTGTTCTCTTAGTTCACAGATTTGGCTATATAGCTTTTTGCTTTCTCTTAAAATTGCTACATTCTCCGTTTCTAGAAGCTCCCTTTTGCTCCACTGAATGGTTATTTCAGACTTGCTCCTCTCCAATTCCATCTTAAGTTCGGCTATTTTCTCTTTGAGCACCTGTTTGGCGGCCACCTCATCTTGAAGTTCGTTCTGTAGTCTCTCTACTTCACTATGACTAGAATCCGTGGAACCTAGCGTCCTGTCGCTGGCTAGGTCTAGTTTAGTACTATGCAGTTCAGCTGTAAGGGTTTCTATCTTGGATATGAGTAAAGCTTTCTGATCCTTTTCACTCTGTAAACTTTTAAAAGTCTCATCCAAGCGTAAGCGCATTTCGCCCAGTTTGTTCGCAAGAACATTGTCAACATTGGAAAACTTGTGCGAATCTAAAGATGCTCTCTGTCTGGCAGACTCATTGGGTGATACAAAACCTGGTTTTTTTCTTAGCTCGACACTGTCGTCTGTGAGATCCGCTGAAACTATTCTCTTCTCGCCTAGACTGAGAAGCTTTTCGTTGTCCGCTTTTAAGTCCAATAGTTGCTGTTCGAGATCACACTTGTCTGATTTTATGCTATTTAATTCCTTAGTGAGAAGGTCTACTTTAGTTTTTAGTTGTTTTGTTTCTTCTCTTGCTTTGTTGCGTTCGTTACGCACCTTACTCCATTTTTCTCGCCAATTGGCTGTGCAATCTGACCACCAGCGCATAGTTTTCTCCATCTGGGTGGCTCTAGCTCTGGCCTCATCCAGTTCCCGTTGGTAGAGGGCCTCCTTCGCTTCCCAATCCGTGTTGGTATAGCGCATAGAGCCCTCGTGTTCACGACTTCGCCGGTGACTCCCGCCATGCGAACTCTGCGCCATAGTTGAAGTTTCTGAAACATAGTTGCAACAACATTTTAGGGACTATATGACAAATGCTAGCATAAGTGATTCTGTTATAAATGTGCAATTCTTTGAGAGCAAGATGCTGCATCTGAATATTAAAGATCAGCAAAAAGGCATAGACATATTTCTGCTGTGACATTATTGTAAGTTATTGTTAAAATTATTATTATTAGGGCCGTCATAACAGACTGATTTGAACTTGTTTAAATGTTTCTACACTATGTTAGCACAACTGTCCTTATCCTCAAATTTTTCAGAAATATGTCTAGCTGCCCTCCAAAGAATGATCCATGTGCCCAAATATGTCCGCCACCACCACCGAAGCCAGCATGTCTAGTTAAACCCGTAATGAAACGTCTACACTGGAAGCAAACAATAGCAACTATCTACCAAGCCTTATTTTTTAGCTGTTGTGCTGGAGCATGTGTATATTTCTTTATTGGAAGACCAAGGCGTGCTGCATACAAGGAGTACTATGCGTAAGTATTCTATAACCTCTGCCATCATAGCTTAATGGTTAAATATGTTATGTGAATGGTCCAATCTTCAATCTTTTTAGATAAGTTTTAGAAATATATTTGAAGTCCAGTTAAAAACTTAAGGATATATTGCCTGAAATCATTATACTTTACAAGATTTATTATATTTCCAAATACTAAAATATGCACCTTATGTATTGCTGTGTTTCTATTGGAGACAAGATAAAAGGCCAAAACCCCCTCTATGGAGGATGATATGTGACATAACTTTATATCCATTTAATTTAATCTAGGACTAACTTTATCATTATGTAGACAAAGACCTAGGGGTTGACATACTGCATCACTTTACTTAACATGCCCAACACCTTTTATAAGGTTCAATGATAAAAATTTGTTTTCTAGCTCTATTATAACATTAAGACATGCAACATTATAGACATACATACTAATCACATTAAGCATTAGTTCAAGAATATGTTGTACAATGTTCAATATACAAAATAGTACACAACTTGGTATATTGTTACATACATACTTTTTACATATACAGTTGAATATACATTTATTGCACATATAATACAGGATAGAAGACTTAACACATAAATTACTACCTAGATATATCATAAAACATAGGAAATAAAAATATTGGAAGCTCTTTAAGCATCATATTATGTAGTTACTTAAAAAATCAGTGATTACTAATCGCTCTTGTGTCAACTTTGAACCTAGGACCCCCTGCTTAATACAATACAAACCAAGCCAAGAAGAGCTCAACAGGACTGTTTTGTAGTGTAAATTATTGCTATTTGTATACAAATACACTTTTTTTAATATAAAAGCACAAATAAAACACAACTAATATTTTCTTACCCAAAATTATAAGTAGGTATCCAAAGTGATCTTGTAATAAATAAATACTTAGCAAACAATATTAAGAGCAGTGGTCTCGCACATTACTGCGCCGAAGCTCTTATTAAATAGTTCCGATTTTTAATGTATCCTGCTTAAAACGCTCTATTGATACATTGCTCGGAAATATCAAAACTTTTAAAAGTTTAAAACATTTTATTTGTATATTCATTTGATGCCAGTTATTTTAACGCCTCATACAATTTTGACAATTTAATACAATCACATCATTGATCGCCCGTAGACGTGTGACAATTAACAAAAAAGGCTAGAACAGATAAAAAATTATTTAATATGGACATTAATATCGAAGACCTTTTACCTTGACTAATGTTAACATATTAAATGTATTTTATAAAATCACAAGATTTACATTTTTACCTTGTCAAGTAACTTAGCTGTTTTAATTTTTTTCAGGAGAGGTGAATTCGAAGACTGGGCTAATGAAATGGCTCGAAAAGGATTGTTTCAGGCAGTTCCTAAAGATAGCTTGAAGGATAATGTACCCGCTAATTAAAATTACTTGTACGTAACGAAATAAAGAAAAAACTTATTTTGTTTATTAGATTGTTTTATTATTAGATAGATATTGTATATTGAGATTAAGTATTTCAAACATACATTACTTATGTTGAACGCCTGAGATTCATTATTTACAGTATTATTAATTTATGACAAATAAATTACAAATATACGGCAAAAGAAGAATAAAATTGTTAATAGACCATTTAATATTTATTTTACCAATATTTTAACAGGAAGTGAATCGTGTCACACGTTTTCTGTCAACGTCCAATCAAAATTTGTCGAAATGTTACAAAAACCCTAGAAATATAATTTGCACCAATCACGATTAACATTCGTTGATGCATGAAAGTATTAAATATAACATTGTATAAGCGCTCTGCTTCCATTTCTTTAGCAACACTATTTACTTAATTAAATTATAAAACTAGTAAAGGGCACCTTTAATTATGATTAATTTTTAAACTCTTTTGTTAATAAAAAGAAAATTATATGAAAAACATAATTTTTAATCTGGTATTTAGACGGCTTTCCAAGGTTTAGCAATTATATGTTTGTCTTTTTCGAGTCAATGCGCATGTCAAGTTGAAAATTGCAAATGGCGTCCGTTGTTATTGTTCGTACCGATTAACTATTTGTAAAATATTTACTCATCTTTTTACGGATTTTTCTATTGAACTATTATTCTGAGCTGATATGATAACTTTCAATTGCACGACGCAATACGTTTTTTGTGTGTTTTTATGTATTTTGAGTGCTTTTTTCGGAAATCTATGTGTGTCATGCAAATGGGGTAAGCTAGAATTATCGGACGTCGCTTAGGTTGTTTTGGATAGTTTCAATAAGACAACGGAGTGAAGTTTTGTGATCCCGAGTTTTAAAATGGATTTTGCCATAAGTTAATCAACCAACGAGCTGTATCATAAACGTTGTAGACGACGAGAACGTTTGCTATTAACCAATGTTCCATGCCGTGACTGTACACCCCGTACATTTCAAAATGGCTGCTGCTCTTCACGATATATGAGCTTTGCGTCACTGGAACATAAATCAGTAGATTCGATTCAAGGGAAGAATTCCTTGTATGTACTCGCGTGGTTCGATGTAAAAAGTTGAAATAAAGTGTCGGACAGCCTCCCAAAGGAAGAAGTGACAACACAAAAGTGGCGTATCATATGTTTTGGCAGTAGTGGACACTGAGTGACCATAGAATTGATATTGCCTTGCGAGCCGGATTGTAATGTTGAGCTTGCTTTTCCAGGATGATTTGGGACACGAAACATTAGAAATTGAGTGGTATTAAGCGGAATGTGACATTGTATGATAGGTGAGTGGTATTATTTGGTTTATTTACATTGTGTTTTCGCGATCGTATGGTATTGTAACAAGATGGACATTGGGGTTGTCGGGGCGGCCGTCGCTAGCGGTCGACGATCGGCCGTTCGCGCCGGCCACGGCTCGCCCCATTCTGTGTTGATATCATACGAAAACACGTAATAAAGTTGTGTAACATGCGCCCGTGTTTTTCCGACCTTGTGAGAAAAGGGATATTCCGCATGAAAAGTGTACGCATTTGTTTTTTGTTACATTAGATCTCCTTTTTGAGGGATCTTATTAGTTTTACTGTTTGTCAATACTTGTTACTATCACTAGTATTATGTTTAGGTTATAGAATGTTGATACCTATTGAAGCTTACATCATTTGATGTTAACAGATATTTATCACTTGTATTTTTATATTATTCAGTAATAACTTTTTGAGGGCATTTACACAGTGATCTTTAAACTTTCGGATAAATTAACAATTATAAATGAACATTAATAATATTGTGGTGTAAATAACATAGTTATGTTATTTGTTTTTAGAATACAAAACTATTTTTTTATATGTTAAATTGTTAAATAATATATTTATAAACATAAGAAAATTATATTTCATATAAAACGATTTTAATTATATTTACTAAAATATTATTATTTATGTTTTTTATAAAAAAAGTATTTGTACATTAATTGAGATTTTCTAGAGTTAATAATAATAGATGTATGTATTCAATGTTTTCACTAGTTATAACTATTCAAAAACTAAGTTACAGGTTACATTTAAATAAATTGTTCACCTTCTTTTTGCAAGACTTAGATGATTTAAATAATACAAGAATAATTTCATGTACATATTTACATTGACAATGCCTTTAAAATCAAATCAAATTATTCCTTTAAAATCAAATCAAATTATTCCTTTAAAATCAAATCAAATTATTCCTTTAAAATCAAATCAAATTATTGCCTATTCTTTCTACTGAAGTGACACAAGCACAACTTAAAATTAAAAGTAAACAAAAGTTAACAACAAAGGAGTAATGTGCTTATTGTAAAATTGAAAATTAGGTATGAAAAAGGTTAGGTTGTTTCCCTCTTTCTATATGGGGCAGAAATATTTGTTTGTCTGTTAAGAAGATAAATTTTGGACATATATCAGGCAAGTCTCATTACTTGTCTCATAGACACTAAGGTAGAAAGAACCTTACTATCCAAAGAGTAGTTATGAAACTCATCCTAGTACAATTCTAGAAAAATTAAATACCTACATTGTTTTGTTACCTCATATGGGCATAAAATTCAGATCATATGCATGTAATGTGAAACAGGCAAGAATTAGTTTTTCCAATGCCTTATATAGGGGAATTAGAGTTTCACTTTATTAGTTTGGTGTTTTGCAAATAAAATTTATAACTAATCCAATAGCACTATAGTGATTTACACAAACATTACATAATGACGTTCAAATAGTAATCACAAATTGAATATTCAATATTTTAAAGAACTACATTAAGTTAATCTAAAAATTGCTTTGCATAATGACACAGCTATTTTTATGTATGCACATTTTACAAATATTGATTTCTTTTTTATTAAAGACAGTTTATTAGAACAATTGTTAAAAAACTGCTACCTAAATACTGTCTATGTGTCACTAATAGTTTATGTGAGTAGTACACATTTAAATAAAACACTTCAACGGTTAAAAACGTTTTGAATGTTTTGCAGTCCCCGCGACCACGGCTGCTGCAAAGCATCCGAAACGTCGGGCCGAAGTTAAAAATCATTTTCAAATAAGTTTAACTAATATATCGCGTTTTAAACCGTTAAAATGTTTTATTGAAACTTCTACGTGATTAAAGTATGGCAAAAGCAGTACACTTTTTCTGCTCATTAGCTTAACTTGTAGTAAAGGACTATAAATAAAAGTACCAAGTCATCGAGAGGACAGAATAATTACAATTATTATGGTGTAGGTACTAAAACCAAAGTTCTGACTTATATCTGATATATTATAATCTTTAAGAATATTTTATTAACTGCTGTAATAGTTACACTTTTAAGTGTCTTGTCTACATTTCAAGACAATAATTACTGAACATGATAGAGAATACCAAAAGTCTACCATATGAATAAAATACTGGTAAAATGGTGGGTGATCTTGATTCTTCCTAGTTCTATTTAATAAAACAGTTTTATTCAGATGGAACTGAAATATAATAAGTGTGTGTGGTATGATTCCAGCATGGCAGCGGACAGCGATGGGCTAGGGTCTTGCGGCGTTGGCTCTTGTGGCGTTGTGGTGACATGCGAGGGGGACTTGCGTGACCCCCGCTTCCCCGCGCGCCTCCGCCGTCTGCTGCGCGAGCTCAGGCAGCTTCTCGCCGAGCCTCATCCTCACACGCTCAAAGTCAACAAGGTATTTTAAATTTGCTTTAGCATCAAACCCAAAGAACTAAAGTGCAGCCTGCAAAGTATATATTTATACTATACAAGCTGTGCCAGCGACCTCGTCCGCGAGAATTATTATTTTGGCCATCCAAATTCGTTTTTGCAAATCTCTTCATCTTTATAAACTTAAGCTGTTACCCATGACGTCAGTCGCGTCCCTTCCCGTCGTTCTTGCAATTTTTTTTTTTTTATTAGATTTTTTTTCACATTCTCGCTGTATCTTTGCTTGTTAGTCACAAGGCGATGTTTTATAGCCTATAGCCTTCGTCGATAAATGTTCTAACTAACACAAAAGGGATTTTTAAATTCAAACTCGTAGTTCCTGAGATTAGCGCGTTCAAACAAACAAACAAACTCTTCAGCTTTATATATAAGTATATAGATAGGCATAGTATATATTACAATATATTATATATTGTAGAGCTATTAAGACTAGACTTTTTTCTGTACATTTTGTTTTTTGTTTTGGTCTATTTTATAAATAAACCAATAATAATCATGAACAAGTAAATTTATATATATTTCAATAACTCCAATGAGTCGTAGAGCAGGGTTACAAGGAGTAACAAAAAGTAGAGTGAAATTTTCATTATTTGGATGTTTTATATGTTGATAATCTACAATCACAAAATTGTAATGATACATCATTAAAATTTTGTGATTATGTAACAAATAAATAATGCAATGGCAAAACTTTCTTAGTAGTAAATTTTGAATTAATTGGTTCTTTATAAAAATGAATATGTACTAAAACATTATGCATGCATATGCACAGTACACAATATAGAACTATATAACAGAATTACAAATGCGGATAGGGTTTTTAGTTGAGTAGTACTGTGTACTTGTGTGCTTATTGTCATATACTATGGCACTCACCTGTTTGCTTTTTAATTGTTATTTAAAAAGGCTGACATTTTATCTACCTTATGTATAGGTGGGTACTCAAAGTTTATAGGCCAAAAAAATAACTGATATTAAACTAGGACAAAGTAGCCACAGACCCTTAAATTCCATATTAATTCAGTTTTGCTCTGTTCCCAGGTGGAGCCTTGGAACTCGGTCCGCGTGACGCTGTCAGTGCCGCGCGCGGCTGCGGCCCGGTTGCGTGCGCTGGCGGCGGCCGGTGCTCCGCAGCTACGCGCTCTCGGCATCTTATCCGTGCAATTGGACGGCGATGCGGCCGTCTCTTTGCGCTTGCAGCACGGCGCGGAGCTAAGAATCAACACTGAAGCCGATGGTATTTATCATCGTTATCACCCTTTTAATAGTTCAAAGAGTAAATAGGAATAGTTTACCATGAATATAATACATTATGATGCCATTCTAAGGCAACAAATAATTCTTCATGGAATCTCTTTACTATAGAATATATAAAAGATCAGCTGGAGACTGAACAAACTACTAAACAAAAGTGGCTCTTCATAATATTTATAAGACAAAAGCACAGCTAAACCCTTAATTTTATATAAATATTTATGTTTTTTATTATTATCAAAGTCTGGATTAAACAGTAAGGTGTGAGTAGCTAGGTCGAGAGGATTATATAGATATTTTAGACGAATGCGGAAAAGCAAGAAATGCAGTGACTATAAGCAAAAGTTAATACGAATAGCACCTATAAAGCTTGTGATGATTATGATCAATATTATATTTTGCAGATGCGGGTACATCTAGGTCGCAGCCTAACGAGCTCCTATCCAGTTTGGGGGGCATCGGGCGGCTATTGGCCGATGACGGCGCCTCGACAAGCAGCGGGGAGCCAGCCCAACCTCGTGACAATTTCAAATCGCCGAACACAGTGTGCCCCATGGACGGCAAGATACCGCAGAACATTCCCACCCCCACCTCAGACCGATGCGAATTCCCCTTCGGCAGTATGACGCAGGCGAGGGTGATACACCGCAAGGAGAATACTCTAGGTATTACCTCTGCTTATTATCATTACAAATAACAAATAAATCTCCATGTTTATCAAAACCTATATCTCACCTCGTGCATTGGTGGGCTGAAAAGTTGTATAACAATATAAGATTATATAATCTTCATATGAATTGTGAAATTTTATTATGCATTCCAGGTTTAACAGCGACCCCTTTGCGGGCGGCGACCCCAGACACACAATTCGCTCGCCCTTCAACGTCGTCGTTTCCAGGGCCGCCCCCGCCTTACCCCGCGCCCTCGACTCCCGCCCCACCACCACCATCGCCTTCCCCAGCGCCGGCCCATACGGTGGCTATGTCCTCACCGCTGCTCGTTAATTTGCTCCAAAACGATGCGCCGACGCCCCAGCCCAGACCTAAAGCGCCCCATCTCGCTAAACTTGACCGTCTTGAAGACTCCCAGGTATAGTAATCATTTTATTAATATGTATACTGAATATATATGAGAGATTCACAAAGACCTTATTTTAGAAATCATGACATTAAGTTAACTTTTATTTTTGATCCTCAGTTTAATTAATGTCAAATTTATTTCATTATTTCTTCTTGAAATTTATTAGGCTAGATCTGTGTTAACTGTTTATGGTAAAACAAAGCATCATTATTATATGAGTTACTTAACAGTGTAAAATATGAATTTATGTAATTATATTGCTACCACAACCACTGCACTGAAAAACCGTTATCCTGCTCGAAGGACCATGCTGTTACTAATTACCCTAATATGTACCAATAAAATAACTTATTATATAGCATACAATCTATACTACTATATAAAGCTGAAGAGTTTGTTTGTTTGTTTGAACGCGCTAATCTCAGGAACTACGGGCTCGAATTGAAAAATCTTGTGTATTAGTTAGAGCATTTAGCAAGCTATAAAACATCCCGCTGTGAATAATAGAAGCGAAAATACAGCGGAAAATGTGTACAAAATGGGGGATTTTTTTTCATTTCTTTGGGTTTCTGATGCGTAAGCTGCAAAAACGGGTCAAGACACCCAAAAAAATATGTATATAGGAATGATTCCTCTTTAATAATCTAAAAAAATATCCGTGACCCTATATGTCTATCTTTTAAGATTAACTTGCCAGAACGACGGGACGCGACCCATGTCGTGGGCAGCTTAAATTTATAAAGATGTTGATGTGAGGTTTGCAAATAGAAATTTGGATGCCTAAAACAACTATTCTACGCGGATAAGTCGCTGACACAGCTAGTGTATTAATAATCCTTCCAAAGTACATGTATTTTTCTAAATCCTTCAGTAATTGTTTGTTGGTGAAACCTTCATTATTACTCCTCATATACCCACATAAAGATTTATTATAAAATAAATAAGATGTATTTTGTTCATTTCTAGGTTGAACTGGCAGTCGGCCGTGCACCGTTCGAGTATCGTGGTGCGCGCCCAACGATTCGGCCGCCTGCGCCGACCTCAGCGCCAATACCTTCGCCATCTTCCCCTCGGCCGCGGCCGAACTTTATTCGGCGGGCTTTCGTGACTCAGTACCGTCAGCCCGCAGCGGTGGTCACCAGACAACGGTTTCCCTATGAGTTTCCCCCGCCTCCGCCCCCCTACAGGCAAGCAACGCCGCGACCGCGAACGCAGCCTCCGAGGGTTACACAGGAAGACCTCCAGGCATTGTTGCCTCCGCCGCCTACGTCTATGGACCAAAAAACGCAGTCCAGTTTCCAGGTGAGAACAATTATAAGAAGAAAAATATATGATTCAGAATAATGTAATGTAATTCGAAATCTAAATTAAAATAAGATAGATCAACAGAAAAAGCTTTTAGTGATTAATAACAGGATTTTTTTATTTTATGTTTTATAATTATCGTAAAAGAGATGATATTTTATATTGTGTTCAATTAAAAATATTATTGTAAAGAAAGCATTAAAAAAATAATGTTTCTATTCCAGGAGTTCCAACGATATCAACAGCAGTACAATGCACGTCAGCGCGCGGCGTCCCGCGCAGCGACTACGCCCCAGCCGGACTGGAATGAGCCGTACCGGGACACGCTCGGGCTCTCCCTTCCAGACCTGCCCGACACCTGCGACCTTGACCAGCTGCTGCCCTCCCTTCCACCAGACCTCAACCTAGATGACACCGCCCTCTCTGCCATTTCGGACCTCGACTCCAATAAGCTCGACCTTCTGTATGAACAGGAGCATTCTAATCCTGATGCGCTCTTGCAAGAAATCACAGGCGTTCAGTACCCCATCAATGGTCCCTGCGATGCTCCAACTCAGAGCGAAGTGCCTAAAGAAACTTTCGAGGACAGTTTCATGCCGCCGCCACCGCCGCCCGTGCCTTCAAAGTTCAATAGTCCAAATCATATTCAAATTCAGAATCCACCATTCAAATCACCTCCAAATACGTCGACTATGGACAGGTTAGTAAATCACTCGACGGCGATGCCTCCACCGCTGAGACTACCCATTCGAGCGACGGCGTCTGTCTCTACGGCGACGGTCGGCTCTCAAGCGACAGCTCAAGAAATAGAAGAACAGAGCAAGAGGTATCTAATCAAAACCCTAATGCGGGATGACGAACCACCCCCTCCGCCACCGCCTAAAGAACCTGAGAAGAAACCTGACGAAGTAATAGTCGCTCAATGTAAAGTGAAAGAAACTGACACCGAAACATCTGAGATTTTTTCTAAAACTGAGGATGATAAGAAGGACGATGACAAATCAAAGAGCAAAGTGATCGCAAAGAAGGACGCAAGGGATGACAAATTAGTCGCGCAGAAAGGTGGAAAGCCAAGAACGGGTGGGGCGAAGGAGAAACCAGCTGTGTTAAAAGATAAAATCGTCCGCGATGGGAAATCTGCCAAAGTTGCCTTAACGCGACCTCATGTCGCAAAACCGTCGACACCTACCAACGAGGCGCCAAAGTCGCCTTCTGGTGAAAAGGAGTCAATCAAATTGCGTCTAAAACTCGACAAAAACGAGCCGGTCGTACAGCCTGTGTACAAAGCGGATGTTAGTTTCATTAATCAGCCACCTAAAGCTGACAAACCAACAGAGACAGAACCCAGAGTGCCTCCTCTTCACATAAGTCTAAGGGGTAGGAATTCTAAAGTAATCACGAATTCAAAGAAAGAAAAGAAAAAGTTTGCCCCTGGTGATATACATAAAAAAATAAAAATAAGGAAATCCATTGAGTCAGATGATAAAATGCACAGAAGAGATTCAGATGAATCCCTGGCCACTAAATCAAGTGATAGCACAGAGAATTCAAAAACTGATGAATATTTACACGTCAAGAATATGAAACTCAACAATCACTATGATGGAGATACAATAAAAACAGAGGTCACAGGGGACAATAATGTAGTCTACAGAATGAAGACTATATCGAAAAATGCACATATAGTCACAAAACACGACTATAAATTAAATAACAAAATTCAGAACTTGGATATGAAGCTGAAAAAGAAATCGAAGCTTTTAAGTGATGGTAAAGTGGTGGAGAAGGAAAGAGATAAAGAGTGGAGGAATGATTTACTAGACAAAGAGGGGAAATATGCCCAAAATGAAGGGTACAGAGAGACAAACAATCATGAGGCAAAAAAGAAGTTACCAGGGAAGGAAAAAGATGGAAAATGTGATATTAAATCCAGTGAAGTGCAATCAGGTGAGACAGAGTGTAACAAAGACGGTGCTAGTGAGTGTGAGAGACTGTGTCATAGTGAACGGACGCTCAGTGAGAACAAGGAGGAGAATAAGTTAAAACGGACACTCACGGATAGTGCAATTACCTCGCCCAATGGGCTACTGTCTTCTGAGAAGAAGAGGAAAACTACACATAGTTCCTGCCCAGGTGAGTCTAGAGTGATTTATACGTAACATACCTTAGCCTCGAACTCAAAGGATGTCAACCTACATTGTTTCAAATGAAAAGCAGAGAAATAACATTTTACCAGGTTCTGTTTATTATGCTATTCACGCTTAGACCTTTAAAGTAATAAGAATATAAAAATAAATAGCTCAGTAATGTTTTTAATAAAAATGTCAGCTAATGTAAAAGATAATAATTTAATATGGAAATACCTCTGACGCAGATCACCGACAATGTAGATAGAAAATTATTGTACAAAATAGTAATTTTATAGCCATATCTCATAGATAATTTAATTTATTTTTAACTTTTTATAAAATGGGCATTATGTTATTTATGTGTACTAATTTTATGGGTTATGAATGATTATGAAAATGTGGTAACCTTACTCATTTTCTTTCATATTTCTTTTCTTACACCCCAAAACAAATGTTGTATCTACTTCCAAGTTTCAAACATTCCTTTATGAAATTTTGTGTATATGAATGTATGTATAAAAAAGTTTATAGGAAAATGTTTGTTATGAAATAAATTAACTGTATTGTCAAATTGTTTTTTGATTTGTAAAGGAGCAATAGTTCAAAATGGACTAAGTGAAATACAATACTCTTTTATACAAACACTTTTGTGTTTTCTTTTCCAATATCCTAAATTAATGTAATGTATAAACATAATTTTAAAATAAGGCAATATAATTTAAATTTACATACAGAGACTTAAGGCTATATCGTTTGAGTGTAAATGTATGTTGTAATTGGTGTTACAAATTTAAAGGGGAAATAAATAGCAAAATGCCCATTTCCACCTTATTTCATATTTCTAATAGTAAAAGAAAAATGTAACCACAACAACTTTTAATCTGGAGAATTATCTCATAAGAGAATTTTCTCCAGGAGGACATCCTCCAGTCATAAATAAAATATTTACAGGAGTACCTTTGTTTGCGTTCCAGATCCTCCTGGATCGACAAACGTAGGCACAGTAGGCGGTACTAGAGTGGACTCTTCTCCGCCTGCCTCTAGTCAGCGAACCGGCGCACTCTCCCCGAGGAGAAAAGAGAGACCTAAAGACAAGTCGTACTGTAAGCTCGTCGCAGAGAGGACCGCAAGACCTGAAGCAGAGAAATTCACTAACAGATCGCCTAACTCTCAAGCGCAAGGCGAAGATTCAGGCATAGAGTCAATGGACGCACTTTCAGAGAAATCTCCTAACCAAGCCAGCCAATCGCCTCCCGGGCCCCAGAGGAAAGAACGCCTCGACATGCCTAGATCCACGAGTCCGACCTCAGTCCAAAGGATAATCGGTGTCATTGACCCGGCGCCGGCTTCCGACGAACTCTTAGAAAGACTATCGTTAGCTACTGGGCAGCCTCATTACGACCCCGGACCTCCAGATATTGACGATATGGGTGATATAGAGGCGGAATTAGCGAAAATGCACGCGGACCACATTAACGGCGACGATGCGCCTAGACGACCGCCAGACGATAGCAGTCAGACCAAAGAAGTTAAGAGAACTCCTACTCCCATTCTCAGAGATGACGAAAAGCCGCCTAGCCAAAGCATAGACAGAGGAGAGGACAAGAACGCGTCAAAGGATCGCAAAGATGACGTTAAACTAGAATGTAATATTGCTCAAAACGATGACATCGTCAAACAGGAAGTGAATGTTTCATCGAAAAAAGAGAAGGGTGTGGAGGATTTTGACCATTTACCTAGCAGAGTTTCACCCCCTCTGTATACATATTCGAATCAAGAGAAAGCTATGAGCGATGGAGTAGAAATAAAGGATGAAAAAGCGGCCGTGTCCGAGAACGGTGAAAGCAAAATCTCGGAAGTGGAAAAGGAGAAGTCAGAAGCGAAACTCGAAAGATTGCCACTGAAAGCAGACTTTCCTGATAAAAGTTTACTGGAGCAATTGCTTATTGAGATACCGACACCGGATTACGTAGGGAAGAGGCCCGAATCGCCGTCGCCGTCGGCTCTAGAGAGAGTAGCGCGAAGCAGTGTACGAACTAGATCGAGTAGCAAAATGAACAGTCCGGCCGATGGACCGAAAACACCGCGGCTTAGTCCAGGCTTAAGCAAACTGGAAAGATCCGACTCGCCGGCTTTACAACCTAGAAATTGTCTTAGAAGCGGATCCGTAGATAAAACTAGTCCCAAAGGTGCCGCCGTCACGAACGCGGCACCAAAACCGGCGCCGGGGGCGAAGAGAAAACGTCGAGAGTCAGAAAGTTCGTGTACTTCAACTGTTAGTATAGAGGAAGGCTTGTCCCCGGGTCGGCTTAAGAAGAAACCGCGACGGGTCGACCAGAAGTCTGGTGGGCCGGCGGTGGCGATAGGTGGTAAAGTGAAAAAGGACTCGGACAGTGATAGTGATGAACCGTTGATATGTAAGGTGCGGGGCAAGGGTGTGAAGACAGTAAAAGCTGGAGTAAAGGTGGTGAAGGGTGGCGAGGGCGTTGGGACGCGGAGATCGGTGCGACACGGGGCGACGCCTGCACCGCCCGTGCCCGTACCTGCCCCTGCGCCGGCACCTCCAACTGCGACGGCGCTCAGGCGGAAGACGAGAAGTGCTGGTAAGTTTTTCTAATTTATTTTTCTTCATGAACTTGGGCAAACTTCTTTTAAAGTTTGCACATTATCAATGGGCAAGTGATACAATGAATAAGGTATTTGAATACTTTGAATATAATTAGCAATTAGTAATAGTAAAGCCACAGGCTTACGATGAATCCAATAATATTAGGTATATATATATATAGTATGCTTACGGTAGCCCTGGTTTATCCATTGAGTTATTTCTTGACTTTTCTATTAACATCTTACATTACAATTCCAGTGGGGGAAGGTGCAACGGCCAGTCCTGGCGCGGTGCGCAGACGGCGGGCATCCCGCGATGGCAAGTGACGGCGGCGCCGCGCGCGTTCCCACGCGCCCCCTCTCCCCCTTCCGATGCCTCTCCCTCTGCCACTCTCCCTCCCTCTGCCGTTACCCCTCCTCTACCCAATAGACTGACACACAACTATACGTACTGTGATGAATCGTGAACGCATCGCGAGTGCTGCGGACTACAGTGTAGGCACGCTGGCCTAGCGCAACGCAACGCCCACGCTTCGAGTGTTCAACGTAGATGTCGCTCGCGCCGTAGAACATAAATTTTCTATTTTATGAATCTCAGCTGTTTATAAATGAAAATTTTGACGTACAATACGCGTGCTTTATAATATATCCGGTTGCGGTCGCCTGTTCGCGGGCGATTATCGATTAAAATTCAGAGCGGCGTGAGTTATTTATTATTTTAGTGAACAAACGATGTTACCATTCACTATAAAGCACTCAATTTTTATCGTAAGTTAATTTCTCGTATGGAGTGTTTAAGCGCGAGCTTTTACCGGCGCTCGTCCCGGCGAGCCCAAAGCGGGAGCCTTAGTTTAGCGAATAGAAATGTATCGATATTGTACAAAAGCACTCTTACTCGTAGGCACATTGTTATAATAGGATAATTAATACCCGAGAGATATAAAGAGTAAATTCATAAAGTTAAAAGATATTTTCATACGTTTTTGCACGACTCGTAAAATCGTGAAGTGAGACGCGTTCTAGTTTTACCTCGTCTTGGCGGGAAACCGGCCTTGGCAGTTCGCATTTTATTCTCGAATTTAAAGTTATCGCTAAGATGGCGGTTTCCCGCGTAAAATGGACGCCGCTAATACGATGTAATGTTAGTGTTTTTATGATTAAGATTCACGACCAATAATTGTAATTTGAATGTGACATTATACTTAAATAATTTCTTAGTGAAACGATTATAATCGTGACTGAGTGTTTCAACAGTTGTCTGTTTGGGCTTCCAATATTCTAAACGAACCTTGCTTTGGTCCATTGTCGTTTTATTCTCAGTAAAGGTAATACTGAATAAGAATCCGTATAATCGTGCTCTATGATTGTGCGCATTGAACGATCGGGCTGGAGTGAGACGTTCGGGTTTCTAGTTCATTTGTTGTCTTTATTAGCTCGCGTTGCTCGTTTCATGTTTTCTCATTCTGTCAATTCTCAATGAAACTTACCCAGTGCTCGTAATTTAGTACAGTTATATTTTTGGCACTTTCTTTGCACTGTACATAGTGAATTGGTTTGAAAAAAATCTTAGTTGCTAAGTAGGCATAGTATTTATTTACAGTTTTGTGACTTTTAGCAATGTCGTTATTCATTTTAATTTGAACCGGTTTAATTTTATTATTCGATTGGAAATCATGATTTCGTTTTTGTTTGCGATCCCTAAGTCTGATGTAAACTCCTAAGCAATAAATCGTGGATGTGAATCGATTAATTTTAATAGTTATAGAATTTTTACCGCTATACAATGTGAGCCATCGTTTTTGCTTTTCCACATTTTTCCCTTTTTATCCGACGAATCGTCATGTGAGTGCATCTGTGAGCTACAATACAAAATGTGTTAGCGTATGTAGTCTAGTGTACAACGAGACACGAGAATCCTGTTCTACCCTAATAAATGAAACTACTGTACATTCAGTGTTCCGTAGACGACAGTCGGGAACAATTATTTTTTAAACAGATTTTGCTTTATGCCTTACTTTTAACTTCGGAAAAGCTATATAGGCGAACAGAGCCCTCGTGGATCGTTGTTTTTGAGAATATTTTATAGATAAATATAATGAATTGCCTGATAATTGTGCCCTAAAACATGTGCCGTGGTTAGTGCTGTGTCTACTGCATTCTCTATAATGTATTCATATTTCGACATACGTCTGCGTTGAGCGACCGCTCGGCTCGAAATGGGCAATCGGATATTTATCGATATGGCGCTGTTGAATTGATCATATTTAATATATTTTAAAGTACCCTCCTTCCAACCGTGCAGTCGCTCGATCCGAGGCATATCGGTATGTTTTAGTGTATAGTTGTGTGCGATTAGCTGTGGGGGTCGACAGCAGAGCGACGGTGTTCGTACGTTTTGTGTTACAGACAAAGTTTTGTCGACACTTGAATATTATTAATTTTAAATGTCGGTGCGTCCGATGTAATTCTCTTGTAAATTTTTATGTATAGATGGGAAAATTAATATATGTTACGCGTTAAGTAATTGTTTTTTTTTCTACGATTTCGTTCAGGAGTTGTTGTATATAGGGGATAAGTACCGTAGCAATCGCAAGCCTTGTATATTAAGAGTTGAACCGCCACCGTGTACCATATAATATAGTGAATGGACTCTCAAATGTAGGTGTGTATATTGGGTGTATAGTTATCCTTTTAGTTGTATGGTTTGTTTTTATTTTGGACTAAATCATAGTAATTTATGCCGATAAATATCTTTATTATACATTTATATATCTATAATGAAAGAGGAATACAAATAGTTTAAACACTTATAAATATAGGATTAGGGGCTACACCACACGAGATAGCATATAGTTTTGGTATGTAAACATTATATAACTTGTAAATAGAATCGCAGAAATAGTGAAATAAATGAATCGATACAATAAAATTTAACATTATGTTATTTGTAATATTTTTTCTAGTTGGTGTTGTTAGATGCGCGGAGTTTTTAGACAAGTGAGCGCCTGTAAATTTTGTTGCTGGCAATCTTTGGAATTGCGTCATTTTATTGTGCATATATTTTCCTGTAAGTTGCTTTTTCTGTCGTTCTCCATTATTTTTAAATCATATAATTATATTCATAAAGTTCGATGAGTCATGGTGAATTATTATCATATTATTATTATGAATGAAAGAAAAATAAGGAATATTATTGTTCTGCTATTATTAAATTTGTAAAGTTAGTTTATTAATAAATGAATAAAAAATTTGTTTTTGTTTAAATTACGCCCTCTTGAATCTGTGCTATAGTTATTTTAATTGAAAAAGATAGTTATGTAATACTTCATTATTTATTTATTGATATGTAATAAATATTTTGCAAAAGTCTGAAATGTCAAAGGTCAATTTTGATCAACTATGTCTACAAACTCCTAGAGGTCCTTTGAACGTCCGTTTCGATTCGAAACCCGAAGATTTGTAATTTAAAGAGAATACTGTTTATTTTCAAATAAGACATAAAATATGATGTTATCTAGGATACCGTAGCCAGTCTTTCTGTATTATTTTTGTTAAAAACCCCTGCTGCAGAGGCCAAATTTTCGGTTTGCCTGTAATTAGACAGAAAATACTTAACATAACCTTAAGTCTACCTGTTAAGGTGTGTAAAATTCCGTTTTCCCCCGTGGGGCATGGGGCGAACACATTTCGGTGTCCGTTTCATTGATCAATTTCACTTACAGGCAAGTTGATCAGACTTCTGTGCCCTGCCCGACCGAAACAATCTATTGTTTCCCCGGGATTCGAACCCAGGAAAATCCCAACCTCTCGCTCTTCACACACTGCAAGGCAACACGTTTAACCGTTAAGCTACAGAGGCCGAAATATTACCTGTTAAATAGGATGGAAAATATTATAAAACCCGCCATTTCAAACCGACGTCATTCGTTGAGAAACTATTTGACTTTCATCTACTTTGTCGCTGGTTTGAAATTTCCTTTTGGATGATGAAATAAAATGATTTTTATCTGTATCGTTTTTTATCTACATTTGTTTTTGATTACAGCACGTCCATTGGTAACTATTGTAGATCGATACAATTTTAACCAATAGGAACGAAGCTTTTATAAAAAAATCACATTTCGTGACTAGTTAGGCGTTGAAAACTGTTTTCTGTTTTCTACTTGCTGTATATTGTGTGCATTACAGTAATTCCGAATTTGTCATTAACAAAAGGTAACTTTAATTTACTTTTAGAAATAATATATTTATGTTACGCTTTTTCTGAAAGAGTTATCATTTAAAATCAATCTTTATTTAGGATCGACACTTGCAAGGTGTTATGTAATAACATCAATAATCTACCTTAACCCAGCAAACACCTAGATTTTCAATGAAATTGTTATTTGCACACTTCATAGTATTGTTTTGACAATGTAAATAAGCTGTAATAAATAAAAGGTTTTTTTAAAGTATTTTTATAGTAGATGAGAGTTCTTACTGAAAATATAATAACCCTACTTTATCCTGCTTCCATTTCTACAAATCCAGCAATTTTGTAACTATTTTTATATGATATTCCATGTGATATATGTAATGTAGTCTTATTAACGATCTTTAATAAAGTACTAAATGAAAGCAAGGAATGAAAACATAAATATACTAGAGTTGTTACCTTTGATCTATTAAAATCATTAAATTCACTACTAAAGGCTCATTCCAAATTAAATTAATGACCTTTAATTTTTTCTTCATTGATATGAATCTATTTAGAATTTAAGGAGTAGTATGTGTAACACAAAGTCCTCTATAGGAAGGAAATGGAGAAATGGATGGAATGGTTCGCAGTTAATGTCGACTGATCACCTGGCCTTCTATCTGTGTCCCCAATAATATTAATCTATTTAATACAGTTATTAATATTAACATATTTGTAGATGGCTGGAGAAAGTGCAGTGTCTACAATCACCAAGCCTGTAATGCGAGGTCTCTTGAACAATAATATCAAGAGGAGTCTGATTATTTCTTTGGCCCTTGCTGGTGTAAGTGGCTTTGCCTTCAAGAAGTTGGTTGGAGATGAACGCAAGAGGAAATATGCTGAATTTTACAGGTGAATTATTCTTTTCTATATAATTAGGTACATCAGAAACACATTGATTAACTAGCAAGTGCCTTTTATGTTAAAACAAAAAAAAACATGGGACTCATTTTGGGTTATACAACCCTAAAAGCGAAACAAACTGAAATTTATAATTATATACCTATTTCCAGGACCTACGATGCCCAGAAGGATTTTGAAGAAATGCAATCAAAGGGTGTCTTCCAATCCTGCTAGGCCGCCCACCATAGTATTAGTATAGTTTCATTTTTTTCCTGTAAATTATGTAATTTAAAATAAAAATTGTTTCATTTATGTTGTGTTTCTTTAAACACCTGCATATTGTGTACATACTCTTCGCACATTTTTTTTTTGACAAGAACCGTATTGAAAAACTTTATATTCATAAAAAATTATAAAGTATTATTATTTGTAATGATATATGTTTAGTTATTTATTTATTTTATCTATAAAAGTTTATATGTTCATACTTTTGTGATTAAAGACAGTGAACGAAAACAAACATGGTATTAACCTGATATATAAATACCTTAGTTATTTTACATTCAAAGAAAATGTGCTGGTTACTTTAAACTAGCGTTTGAACGTTTGAAAATCCACAAATACAAACTGAAGTGCAGATTTGCACTTCAGCACTATTCCAACTGTTGACGGTGAAAATTCTAATAAAACAAACGAGCACAATTTATGATAGTTTATTCTGGACACCAATTAGTATTCTTGCCAGACATAATAAATAATGTTAACAATTCATTGATTAAACACATCGAGTTCAGGAACTCCTTACACCTACCGTTACTTAAAGAATATCTGGTATTCTGGTAGACACGAGACAGGGCCAGCCTGTTTACTACAACTTAAGAAGGAAAATGCAGAAGCCAGGGCTTCGTACAACATAGTAAGCGCATATTTGGAAATAGGACTAACCTTAAAATAAACCATAATTATTCAACCTGTTTTTTTGTCCTTGTCTATAGAAATAATTCACTTTCACAGCAGTATTTTTGAAATACAATAGGTGTCAAATAAAAACTGTATTGTGCAAAGCAAAATACACTTCAGTGCACGAAATTAAATCTATTCGTGTGCGTGCTATAATAATGTTAGTTTTAAAGGTCATCGAAAGAATGTTGCTGATGAAAAAAACATATTTCAAAATTTATACTTAATGGATGTTGCTTATCGATTAAAATATTTAACACACTTTAAAATGTTTACGCCTAAAGGTATATTAAACTTGCGAACAATTATTTTGGGTCATAATTTCGTTTTATTATATAATAGGTAAATATGATTTGCGGGAGATCCAATATAATCGCTCGCGAGTGTAGCTACGATTATAACTAGGTACAGATAGATTGCTTTGGTCAAGTCATTTTAATTAGAAATAGGTACACAGACGAAACAAATTTTGTGCTTAAACATTGAAACACGAAAAATCGAAAGTGACGTAGATTTAAAGCAAGTTTCAGGATCTTAGCATAATTTTTGTTTTAGGTAGGTTTATTTTATATTATCAATTTATAGAACAAGGGGAGTTTAATATTATATCTGGACATAGTAGAGTAGTTTGTACTTACTTATATTTTATTTATTAGGGAAAATTTCGATCAATTTGATGATTATTTTGAAAGTTTGCATTTTGAATCAATTGGGAATTTGGTTAGCTTGCATTAAATAATGTGTTATTTCGGTTGTTGTAGCCGATACGCAACTGCAGAGTTTTTAGCAGTTAGAGCATCGGAACAGTATGCTTACGTGATTAATTAGAATCTTCTGCCCCTCAAGTCTAAATAAATGTTATAATCCCTTACCACCACTAGGTAAATTGGTTAAATTTTTTATAGCCGAGACACAAACAAGAACAAGAACAAAGAAGAATTGGAAAAATATATCCACGAATTAAGAAATGTGCTTTCCCACCGGAAACGTAACAGTAGAACATTAAAAACTAACTTTAACAGTTACATTAACATTACAAATAGAGATTTTATTATTTAATAATTACTATTATTCTTACATTAATGTAATTAATAAGCGTAATAGATCAAACATTAAGTTTTTTTGGGCAAATTCTTATTCATAAGGGTTACGTGGCAGTACTGACGCTGTTGAGTTGGTGGCGTTGCATAACTTCGCGCTAAGCGAGTAAACTTAATTTATGTAATATAACTAAGTGTAATGTGCGGTAGTCAGGTAATAAATCGATGTTAAAAGAACGAATGTGACGGTAGAAGTCAAAAGTGTAGCATATACATTACATGTCGGTTTGAATAGATGCGAAAATGAATAAATACACTAACGAGCATATTTTGTGAAGTGTAAAAGATCATGTTAAACGTGGTAGGAGACTCACTTTGTGCATAAAAGTTTTGAATAATCTGTCACATAAATCGTGTCACGATCATTTTGTTGCTTTCTGTTTAAGTAAATGACAAAACACTGTCCAACATATTCGAAGTTGTAATTGACGCTTGAAATTGCCACAAATTGTTCTGTGCCGTCGTTTAAAAATAGTTTGTGTATTTTTAGATTAAAGTAACTTAAACATACCATAATTGTTCGTAAACATGATTTTCGGACGCAGTGAAATATACATTGCGATTATATTATATTAAAGAAACGAACCCGCGTTTGACAACAAAAAATTGAGCAATACATTTATGGCGCTATACTTAAAATGCACTAAAAGAACCGCTAGATATTTAAAACTGTTGAAAATGTGGTTTAACATTTCTTGTATACAACTTGAAAGACGCAAAAACGGGTGGAAATTTTCGCAGTCATAGCATTTAAACGGTCTTTTAGCACAAAAAACTCTGACTAGAAATATGGAAACTTTAGTTCGTATTTTTGAACCAAATGGAAATGGATTCTATTTGCTAAATAAGCCTAGACAATATTGTAACTCATGTTTAAGCGGCGCGTACAGAATGGGTAATACAATGTTTGACAGATGAAATGTAAAAAGCACTCGCCCATCGACCAGACATTTTTTTTGTCTAATAATTTTTAAACTCACATAACTAATGCTGTAAACTGAATCCTGTTACAATCACATAAGAATCTTTCTCTTACGTTTATTGCAAAGTTTTTGTTTGTGGGAAGATGATAAAATTTCTCAATACACTATTTGATTTATCGATAGGGCATGATATAATTCATGTTATTTTTAATTTACAGATATTTTGTCAACCGCAACATCTGACGCCAAAGTTATCGAAATGTTTCGAAATGTTAGACGATTTTCTAATCGACTGACGTGAGGCTTTTGCTAATTTTCAGATCGCCAGCGATCATGTCTCCTTGATTTCAAAGGTCTTCCCTTCGTACTCAGTGTGGCCGTACCCTTCGTCGTCGTATTCTATTTCGCGGCCATTTTTCACAGAGTCCACAGTGGGGCCGTAGAGTTTGACGCACACTATTTCTTTGTAATTCTCTAACGCGAGGGCTAAAATGGATCCGCCTAGCAGGATTTCGCACGAGGTTATGCGTTCGGGTGGTGTGTACACAGCTATTAGTTTTCCTGAAAAAAAAAATAAGTGGGGTATTTGATTATCACTAGATAAAGATATTAGGAATTCTCTAGTAGAAGTATAAAGGCACACAAAGTGTAAAATTGACGGAAATAAGAAAAGATTAATTCACTAATAAATACATTTTTATAGCGACATCGTAAAGACAAAAAATCACAACGTTTGAAAATTGTAACATTCGCATGTTATTGCACATGATGACATTATATAAATTAAAATACTCGATGATGTGTAGGACACGATAGTTAAATTGATGAGAGCGAATTACGGAGCCCTGGGGCACCTATAGGTTTAAGTCCTGCCAGTCCTTAATCTAAAACTGATTTTTAAGTGATACATAAGATTTACACGTACAAAAAATATTCTATTAACAACATTTATTGTTACATTGTAATAGATAATGATTCAAATGAGATTTAACCGGGAGAATTACCAGAATGCAGGTCCCAGAGGCGGACGGAGAGGTCTGTGGCGGACAAATCAGCGGACAAAAGCAGGGCTCCGGATTTTGCCAAACGAAGCTGTGTCGCCGCACACACGTGACCGCTCAGCGAGAGGCGACAGTTGCCTAAAGGACAATGACATATCGATATCTTGTTATAGTGTTAGAAGTCTTAGGTTTTAAACTCTGGACAACACGGTAAAAGCACAGGCTGATCGTCTTTTTGTCTGCCAGTCTTAGTGATTAGTCAAATAAACACACTAACTTGTATCTAGCATAGGGAGTATATATTACTTTTTTATATATTACATAAAATTAACGTAACAATCAGTGAAAACTATATTTTACATTGCTCTGTCCATTGTAATAATTAAATAGAATTTTGTGGTTGCCGCCTCTGTAGCCAGTGAGTACAGATATTCATTGCAAATTGGAATTACAAAAAAAATTAAATAAGATAAAGTTGCAAACCTGTAACCAAATCCCAGACTAATATCCTCGTATCAGCGAGCGCTGAGACCACACAGCCGTCTACAGAGCTGATAGCCAGGGCCACCGTGTCACATCCCGGCTTCCACTTCTTGAACAGTGTACCAGATTGCAGGTCGTACACGACTATGAAATTGGGACTCGGCTCGTCCAACTCACGGGAAACCACGCACACGTACGAGCCTAAAATAATATTGTGATGTGACGTTTTCAAGCATAAGTGGAACATTATGTTAATAAAGCTGAGATAGGGATGCTAGTAAAACACTCAAAAGCAATTTTATGGCTTAAAAGTGCGTACGAGCCGTATTTATGCGAATTATGCAGTCATAATGTCTGTGTGACAGTGTGCATTAGCCTTAAGATGCTCTAAGCGTTCATCAATCTATTTCATTGTGGGTGGAGACAAGGGAAAAAGGTTGGGTTGACCAGAAAGTTGGATTTCTGGTCAACCCATTACGTAAGTAAGTTCAATACTACTGAGTCATTCTTCTTAAACATTAGTAGTAGTTATTTTGAAACCAGGTTTTGATGAGATATTTTTTTTTCAAAATAGTTGCTTGTTGGTTGTGATCGCAACCCTTGTGTTATTTAATTTAAACTTTCAACACATAACAATAAGGTAGAAAGTCAATTTTCTATTTATTTTTTATGATGAAGGAGGACATAATATCAAAACAGCTCTTCGTACTAGACATATTCCCTCTTATCTTATCTCACCTTCATACGTAATGGCAGCTTTGGAAGTTATAAAGTCGTGATGAGGTATCCGTAGATCATACAACAATTTACGCGATGTAAGAGACCATACCAAGAGGGGAAATGGTTTTTGCGTTTCATCACCGCAGACCAGCACTCTGTCAACGAAAGTACTTATTCAAAAAGGATATAGCTGGGGTTTTATTAAAAATAATAAACATGCCATTCCAATAGGAACGACATAGCGGCAATGTAGGTCGGAAATTCAATTCTCAGCGTCACTTTTTAAATTTGTATAAGTTCTCACATATATTACTATGTGTGTTAAATGTTAATGAATAAGCTATAAATAAATAAAAGCAAAAAGTACCTTCCATCACCAGAAACCAGAAGGGAATTCAAAAATCGATCTTCGCCAGCTTTGAAAGTTGTAACACAATCGCCTGAAAGGATATAAATGACATAATTAATCGGCTACCCAAGAGCGTGTGTATATTGTGTGTGTATGTGTGCTTGGATAAGAATAAGTGCGAAACTGTGTATGTAATGTGTTTCTGCGCCTAAACTTACTCATTGCAACTTATTATAGTTCTATCCAATAATAAAACTTACCCGTCTCGATATTCATAAGATTAACATACATCCGATTTCTGGAAAGGGCGACCAAATGCTTCGAATCGTGTAGACCGTAGTAAGGCATCTTTTGGTTCATCACTCCTTTCAACGCTACTACGAATTTGCCCTAAAGAAAAGAAACATGTACTGACCCGCTATGCATTATGTATTGTGTAAATTTAAATAAAATGATTTTTAAAGATGATCGAAATATCAAGTGAAAAAAATGAAAGAACTTACAGAAAGGATGGTGGAGAATTCTTACCTGATCCAAATCATAGACCCTCAATTCTCGTCTACAGAGCACGACACACCGATACTCGTCTATCGGAACTAAGTTTATCGGATGCGTCACTCCCACTATTTTTCTCACTAATTTACACCTGAAAATGAAACAGTATGTTTAAATAAAACACGACCTATGTAGTGTTTTAAGTGAACAGTTAAAAACACTTTTAAAGTATTTCAATGCTACTTGGGTTTCTGTTAGGTAGTCGTTGCTAAGAAATACTTATCGATGTTTAGATCGAGTAGATGACATCATTAAAAAAGTTAAAAGTTCTTCGACCGTACACCTCGAAAACCCAGAAAACAGGGATGCGAAAGCCTTAAACAATTCATATGTTCTTATCTTTACATTAACAAACATTACTGTTGAAAAAATCACTTTTTACGATTTAATATGCGAAGTACAAAGGTTACAATTATCTTTATTCATTTAAACCATGACCCGACGTTACGCTGTGCAGCAGCCTCGTAAACTACAGATATACATACTTTACATATGTGCATCTTACCTAGATACATCCCAAACGCATATTTCTTCCCTTTCCGTAGACACGGTAGCGATGAATTTGCCTCTCGTATCAAAGCGAACAATTAAATCAAAAGGCTTTGAGTCGAAACCCTCGACTACTGAGAAATCTCGCTTTTCCTTGTTTTCCATGACTTTCCAGAAGTCTTCGTTCATTGGGTAAAACGTTGGGACCGGCGGATCGAAAATATCTCTCATCCAATCCTGTACGACGTCACTCTGGATGTCTATGCCCTCACGCTGCCTCCTCTCTATGGTCGTTCTGAGGAGGCCGTAGAATTGTCTATGGTCGTAGTCTAGAGCGTAGGAGTGGGTTTCGAAGACTTCTTTGAGGATATCTATGTGTTCCGGTAACGGGTCGATATGTACGAGGGCTATATCTTCTAGAAAGTGTCCGCAGTCGGTAGCGGCTAGTTTCGCGTGAACCCAATCCAGTTTGGTGAAATACGGTTTATTTGCAAACGCCTCGGGATCCTCCTTCAATAAATGATAATGCTGGAATGGCAGTTCGTCTAGTTTTCTTGTGTTGTAACTAAAGAAAGGTTTAAATTAGTCAAAACTAAGTCCTTAATTATTTTACAATTTATAAGTTACAAATCTAAATATATTGAAGAAGAAAGGGACTTGAACCGACAGATATTGAGCTCTCGTGTCAATTGGTTTCAATCTAAATACAATTTTAACTTACAAAATGTCGTCACGCGTAAATGACATTAAAATTATCAAAGTCTGTCTGTATGTTTTTGCACATCGTTTTGTGAACTGCTCATAATCTGAAGGCTTATTAACAAAATAAATCGTTCAAACAAAACTTTAACGGTCTGTAATTTACGCTAGTAGTACACATTTAAATACACCACTTTGACGGTTTAAGACGCGATATATATTAGTTAAACTCATTACAGCGTCGACACGTGTTTTAAACCGTTAAAGTGTTTGATTTAAACGTGTATTACTCGCGTAAACTACAGACATCATTTAAATTAGAACGTTTAATAGACATACTATTCGTCGGAGAACTTGTTTTCCTGGGAAATGAGACGTCCAGCCATTTTGGGATCATCGTCGCCGTGCCACGCACCCTGTACATAATTTAAATGCTATATAATTAATACAAGATAATCGCAACAAGCATAAACTGGTGCCATAGATTTTCCATACCTCGAAATACTGAACGAGAATTTCCCTAGCTGTATTGCTATCAGTGAGATATCTGTCAGTTGCAGCAGCAGCAAGAGCGGCGTCACGCCATCTCGCGGCGCCACGAAAGTCCCACCTGAGCCAGGGAGCTAGCAGTGCTGTTAATTGCGGCCAGAGGAGTGCAGCTGGGGCCCATGGTACTACATAAAACAGTCGGGTTACTTTACGAATATATACTTGTATGTAAGGTAAGAATTTTTATATCTAGGAGCTAACTTATGTAAATTGCTTAAAATTAATTGAGAAATTATAAAAGATTTCTCTAAGCTATTTACACCTAAATAGCCGAAATATATCTAATATAGTCGAGGACTAGCATGGGGTTCGCTTGATGGAAGCTAAAATACCCTAGCTTATAGGATCTAAACAAGATTCGCTGTCGACCTATTTTGGCTTTGGATATTCGGAAATTCACAGACTGAAATCGAAACGATTGAACTTCCCGGCTTTTTCATTTCGAAATTCCTATTACCCATTTAATATCCAGATTTCCGGACGAAGTCCAACATGTTTCAGCAAAATTATAAATTGATTGGGTAAATGTTGAAACCAGTGGGGATTATTACTATTACATCAACGCGCCCGTCGAAGCAAGAATAAAACAAAAAAAACCTACAATAAGTCTCTTCACTTCTGAAAAGTTCGTCGTGTGCCAGCATATCCAGGATTTCTGTATCATCCAGGCCTCGTCTGGACGCGGTGAGCAGAGAGAGACACGCTTTAACCCTATCTGCGCCTAATGCTACCTCCGTTGTTATCAAGATCTGTTCCAGCTGAGACTCCAGTTCTTCGCAGATCACCACCTCGTGCAGCGCTTCCGTTTCACACTGTTCCGTGAAGGTTTCAGCTGATAGGGATATCTGCCATGCTAGAATCTGATACGAATTAGCCACGTTAAAATAAGAATAATCTGTATTTGTGTTATAAACAACTTGCTAATAAAGTAATATTCCAATAGAATTTATGTGACCAATTAACTAAATAATTAAAGTAATATAGATTACATATTATGATTAACATAGTGCTGTCTCGCTTACGTACTCAGTTTTTCATCAATTTAAAATAATTAAAAGTTTATTCATAATGTTACGAAGGGCAATCTTATTTAATATAATATAAAAAATCTAAAATACGAAATAGTTCGATTTCCTTCTATATGCAAAGCTGTTATCTGTTAATCCCTAACATAATGCCGCTGTAGCTAAATGATTCAGCCTAGCATTGCGCGAGAGGTCCTGGATTCGAATTCTGGTAAAACAATAGATTGAGTTGGTCGGATAGAGCACAGAAGTTTGATAAATACTTGCCTGTGAATAAAACCCATCAGTGAAACGGACACAGAAATGTGTTCGCCCCATGCCCGACAACGGGAAACGGGATGCCACTTTTAAATAACATAATGCAAGGTTTAATTTTCTCACCTTCGAATATAATGGCAGTGTACATTTCTGTACCGCTTTCACAACAGCTTCGGAAGGCGATGCAGCACCCGTTTTGCTGTAGGTAGCTGCACAAGCTGTCAGCATAGCTTTGGCTTCTTCGGCGCCGACGGGCGGTGCGCGGACCACTTTAGGCCCGTCTTCTGACGAAAGTACCGCCATGATGGCCGAGCTTGAAGGCTCGTCTTTTTCTGTGTGAAATAAATAAGTTTCATTTTTATGTAAGCATAAATTAAAGAGATTAAGGAATAGAATACATGTTTTTCGAGATTTACCTTATTTTACAACTACAAGAATACCTCCATCTTAATTTCGTGTCTTCGACTGGTGCCTGTCTTAGTTATAAAGTATACTAATATTATAAGTTGAAGAATTTATCTGTTTGAAGACTAACCTCAGGAACTATTGGTTCGAATAAAAAAAAACTATTTTACTTTGCTCATGCACATTGCGCATCATGCTGCGACTAATAGGAGCGATCTAATAGGAGTGGGGATTGTGGAAAAAACGTTCTCTTTGCGTTCCGTACAAATTATAAAAAAAAAATGATTCCTCCTTAAACGCTAGCTAGTACACAACTAGCTCTATTATATGTTGGGGTAGTGAACCATTGGCGGATTTAGCTTTGGCGGCAGGAAGGGACTATATTGTCGTGGTCAAGTTTAAAAGTTTAAAATTGAAAATATTTTGAAAACTTGAAGAACTAAATATATAATAATTTGTTAATAAAATCAATATGTTTAATTAGTGGTTTACCTAAGTCTTAGAACCAGCACAGAACTGGTCATGACCCCATGGCACCCCCCCTGGATCCGCCGTTAATAACCAAAGATATACCTTCGGTAACAGTGACAATCATCTTCACGTTTTCAGGTAAACGCGAAGGTAGCCAGCGAGCTCCTCGTAGTGCGTCAGCTCCGCCCACGCAGACTAAGACCGGTCTACAGCGACCTAGAGCTGCTAGAAGTCTGGCCAAAGTTGATGTTAGCGAGGTCACCTCCTAAAAAATATAGACAAGCAAGAGATTGAGTTGGAAGGTAAATAATTTAAAATACCCCAGCCATACAACATTTAAACAAGATACCCTGTAATGTATGACTATACACTGCCATCTTTAGACCAATGATTAACTACAACCAACAACAAAATATCAAATAATATTTCGATCCCTGAAACCTTCTGCTTAGCACTGTATATGTGCATATGAATTTTAAATACTGTCTATAATTTACGCGAGTATTACACATTTAGGGAGACAGTCTCCCCGTGACCACGGCTGCTGCAAAGCATCAAAAACGTCGGGCCGAAGTTAAAAATCATTTTCAAATAAGTTTAAGCGATATATTAGTATTGCGTTTTAAACCGTTAAAGTGTTTTATTTACATATTAATTTTATGAATAAAGAAAAGGTTTTTTTTAAGTTTGCCTATTGAATAAAATATATTTCTTAAGGTATTTATGCATTAGGCATTTCTAATTATAACATTTATAAACTCAAACAAGAAGCATTTTATTGAAGACTTAACTCACATTTTTTCCCCTGTACACTGTTCCCGTATGAAGTACGTGTAACTGATCTACAACGGACTTTAGTAACTGGTGAGAGCTACTGGATTGTGATGTAAGTCCAACAAACCTGGAATAGGATTTATTTTTCTTATTATTATTTTCTTAATGGCTTTTATTGAAAAGTTTATTGTCCTAGCGCTATCCGGTACGCTATCGACCTATGAAATTTCTAAAACCCATTAAATTTTAACGAAATTTTTATTTTTCTATATAGTAGTTAACTAATATAAACAAAAATAAATATCACCTAACAATAAGAGCCAGATCGTCTAGCCAAGTATGAGCCAGCGACGCAGCTCGCGCCAATAGTGTCGCCTTTCCACATCCAGCCCCACCCAGTACCACGAGTGGGATAGAACTGTCGCTTTGTACATATCTGGAATTATATAACATATTAAATTAATAATATAATTAGTATTTCTTGCTCGCGCTTCTTATGATAGAGAAGAACAGACAATCATAGGGTTTACTTAATTCAAGGTGAAACGCCCCAGCGGCCTTGGATATTCAAAATCTACAGACTGAAATCGAATCGTCGCGGCTTCTTCTATTCGGACGCCATTTTCTTTTTTACCACCACCAATTTAATATCCAGATTTCCAGACGGAGTCCAACATGTTTCAGAAAAAATATAAATATTAGTATTGTAGCACTTACGTTTTTAATTCGTTAAGTGTGATCTCCCTGTTCGAAGTACATTGCGTGGCCTTTTGACAGAATGACAGATGTTCAGATATTTCTTCAAACAAGCTGCAATGAACACAGTATTATGAACAAAATTAGACTTATTAGTATACACACTTGATTTCCTTAGTTAAGTTGTTGATGTTAAATTATATTTTAAGTACAGTATAGTAATGGATTTCAGATATCTCTAATCAATTGAGCTACACAACAATGTTAGTTTATGAAATAAGCTTTTATTACCCATTTGGCCATGTTGACCATGTCTCGAAATATTACAATGTTACGTTCTGTTTCTAGTACTATAAAACAAAAGCTACTTTTTATAGGACAGGAAATCTTGTAATCCGATTATCATCGCTACATTGTGTATAGTAACCATACCTAGCCGGGATCCCGCAGTAGCCGGCCGGTCCGTCGCTATCCGACATCAGTCCGTCGAGCAGCGCGTCGAGCCGCTCGCCGAGCGCCGACCGAACACCCGCTGTGTATTCCTCATCGGCGTTGGTGTGTGGACGACCGCGAACGCTAGCTCGTATTACGTTACGCTCGCTTAGATATAACTGAAACATTTTCAATTTAAAAGAATAAAATATTCGTACAATATGGTGAGTATTGTCAATAGTTAACGCGAGAAGTCCACGCCAAATAAATTATTTTATGGGGTTACATCACGAAATGTATTTAGTACATTTGCAAATCACTCGAAACGATACATCGTAGTAAAAAATATGTCATTGGTGTTGGTCCCTAAAGCTATAGCATTAAAAAGGAAAACACATTCTTGTATGTGTTTTTTTATTATTTTATATATATTTATTTCACTTTGCAACGGCAAATTTGAATAGCAACGGATGCGTGGAGTGTATTATACTAGACACGAAACATATTGATTTGAGGCGATGTTATTTCAATCATGAAGTACGATAGTATACTGACTTTATGATATTTGTGGTAGAAATGGTAATCGGGAGAGTCAATGATTAGTACCTTGAGGTCCCTCTGTAAATTAGCTAATCTCCTCTGGAGCTCGCGGTGATGTTCATCGGGTCCTTCTTGAGGTTCTGGTGCTGCACCGGCCCGACAGACCCACACACAGCGCCTCGCCGTTTCCGAGCTCATCAGTACTGTGTGTTGGACTTCCTGCAAGTGGTAGATGGGTGAGGGAGATAGCTCTATCCATGCGTCCTAATTTTAATATGCTGTCCTCTTCTAACACCGACGAGAACTGCTTAAATGGAAAGTATTGTATTTACCTGTTCCAAAACAGTAGTTAGGTAGGCGTCGCACGCCTCTTGTGGCAGAGTTCTAACAAGAACAGTAAGGGCTCGTGCCATTTCTCGCCTCCAGCGAGCTGGTGCGCCGCGAACGAGACGGTAACATGGCGGAGTAGTACTACTGTCTAGGGTGTACCTGTCACATGTACATACGCTACATAGATTTTATAGCAAATCTTACTTAGAGCTAAAGAACTTTTAATTTTAAGAAAATAATCTATATTATAAATACTGTTTGTAGTTTACGCGAGTATTTACAGGTTTAAAACTCAATGTATTTTAGTTAAACTTGTGGAAAAAATATTTTTAACTACGGCCCGACGTTTCGGATGCTTTGCAGCAGCCATGGTCACGAGGAGGCGTCCGGCCGTAGTTAAAAATAATTTATTAAACAAGTTTAACTAAAATACATATATCGTGTTTTAAACCGTTAAAGTGTTTTATTTAAATCTATGTTTTAACATACACTATAATTAATGAGGTTTAGATTGAGTATTGCATGAACTTATTAAACTTTCTTAATTATAAACACCACAGGATTGGTTTACAAGAATAAAAACTTATGAACTTAAACGAGAATGCGACCTCTTCTAGCCAGATGTGAAGGAAAAATAAAGAACTATAGAGCTAAAGGGAATATCGTGAAAAAGAAAAGCACGGACTGAAAAGGTAATTTTAAAAGTACAGAGACATTGAGCTTTTCTGATTGCAATAGGAAAAGAGTTCCAGAGCGGTACACATTTAAATAAAACACTTTAACGGTTTAAAACGCGATATATTAGTTAAACTTATTTGAAAATGATTTTTAACTTCGGCCCGACGTTTCGGATGCTTTTTTGCAGCAGGAGTGGTCACAGTCTCCCCGTGACCACGACCACCTTTTACTAATATATCGCGTTTTAAACCGTTAAAGTGTTTTATTTAAAAGTTCCAGAGCGAAAGTTATTTTACTACCTACATATCTTGTATTTTATATTTATAACTATCCACTACGTCTAAATGAATAAATAAATAATTCATAGAAGGCCTAGAAAATATATTTTCGCTATTTTAGGTGGACCAACGTCGTTAAGCTGTATTTTTGTCAAAAATGTTTCATTGTTTAGTGGTAATTTACTTTTAAAAAGCCGCCATAATTGTAATAACATCGCTAATAAACGAACACCGATGATTTCAAAGTGGTGAAAACGTCTACACATTTTTATTTTGAATCGATAAAAAATTTAGTTTAATACTTCGCAAGTTACTAATTGAATTACAATAATATTAAAAAACTTTGACTACTGAATAAATTAAGACGAAAAAAAAAACAAAAGTATTATACAAATTATGAGATAAGAAAAATCTTATTTGCACACAAATACTAGAATTCAAGACTCATTCAGTTTCCTCGACGTGATTAATGGAAAAAAATTGTCGTCAAAGATGTTGGCATCTGAAAACCGATATCGTTATATCACATTACTTGTTGCCAATAAGATCGTTTCTTTTGCTTTACTTCTCTTTGTGAGATAATTGGATTCACAAATGCCTTTGGAACCTAATGTACGAGTGATACGTAAGTCTTATGAAGGCAGATTTATCGTCAATCGTATTTGCAAAATTTTCCTTTTCGTTTTTCATAAATCTATATTGTCTGTAGCCTTATTGGACGGAGATTTTTTGGCACCTAGGTACATTTCATATTTTAGATGTTCAATAAAAATGTCGTATGTTTTACTTTTTGTATAGATTATTATTAAAGCAATACTGCTGTGCTGCTGTGTACTGTAATGTAGCTGTAATTTAAAAATCAAAAATAAATTAAAAAAAATTTCGACTCGTGAAGGACTTGAACGGGCATCCCTGCTGTTGCTCTACCAATAGGGCTACCGAGTCCTACAGACCATCGTCGATTTTTTTTCAATTTATTGATACATTCACCCCTCGCGCAATACGCTGACGATGCCGGTTCGAGACCTGCCCGAGTCGAAAAGATTTTCTAAAGTCTTCCTTACCATTTATTTAACAAGCTTCTATCATTTTCATCATCAGCAGTCTCCAACGCCGCTTTGAAGTCAGCGCACTCTAACGTGTGAGGTAGTAATGGTGTTCCCAAATTTGAGTTCAGGAATAGTACTGGCACGACCGCACCGAGCTCCGATTGTCCTGAATGTTGAATAAAAATAAATCGATTTCTTATTGCAAGAGTGTTATTCGGATTTAATTAGGAGCTAAAATATATATTGTAATTATTTATTTATATTCACACTTTATTCACATTTATATTCACACCCTAATTATATTATTTTATTATTATTTTATACATTCAGTAGATAATGTAAAATGTAATAGATTACTTAGATAATAATTAGCATATTTTTCATTTCAACCCAAATCTAGTCGTACGCTATATAAAAGCTTCATTAAATGTATTCTAACTGGAGTAAATATAGTTGTACTTTTTGTAGGTTAGGTAGCTACTACTATGTACACACACACTATAGTCATGAAGTGATTTATTTTTAAAAAGTTATAAAATCTTTTACAATGGCCCCGCCTTATATAAAGGATATACTTAGGATCTGTTTACTTCAGAAAATATTCAACTGTAGCGTGAACATATAAGTTACATAAAGAAAAATCAATAGATTTCAAATTTGAGGATACTACTACAGACTCGTAGACATTCGCTACGGCGTAGGCTCGCTACGGGACTACTAACGCGCAAGCTCTGCAATGCACAGTACGGGGAAGCGATGGTCCCTCTGTTGCTCAAGTGGTGATCTCCAATGCAGATCGGCCACGTGGACACGCCAGCCACGCTTGCGCGCGCGCACTCGTAATCGCGCCGCTACGCCGCAGTGTAAAGCGCCCTTCTCTGCGCAACAGTCTAAAAATAGTGAAATAATTAACTAAGTATTGTAATTTTTGTGACTAGAATAAAATGTCCACAAAGCGAGTCAATATCAGTAGTATTACCTTGTGAATCGGCAGCGCAAATGTATATGAGCATCGCCCGCCGTTTCCTGGCCCGTTGGCCAGGACTCTTTCCAAGAAGGAAGGACCGATGCTCCTCGGATAAAGCTGCAACTTTGGCCGGCACGGGTGGACCTACGACCTCCTCTTTGGGTGACGCGCATGCTTGAGGAGACGATAAGGAGATGGAATCTGGAAATTTATAAATATATCGAAATCAATATAATCAGTTCCCCAAATATTCCTTAAATGAATCTCTCGACAAAAATCATGTGCCCTTAGATCGAGGAAAATGTTATTCTGCAACCTTTTCATAGACCGATGTTAAAAATAGATCCTAATCCACTTTGAAGCTTCAAAACACCCCCGTTTCCAATGAAGTGTTCTTCTATTTAATACGCTGGGAGATTGCAATCTTTTCAAATTATCTTCGACAGACGAGGATCAAATGGACTCTATTCCGAACGTTAATCGAATAAGTTTCACGAGACATCATTTAGTAAAGCGAAAATCGATAAGGAGAAGACCTAATGAGTCCTGGAGATGAATTACTTTGGCTCTACACAAAGGAATATCTCAAGTACGTCTTATGTCAGTCTTCGGTTCAGTTTTAGTCGACGTATATTCATTGAAAAAAAATATACGTACGAGTATTAATATAAATTAATGAGAGATTAGAAGATTGAGAATTTCTTAGGACAATAAGATTAAATGGCGTGAAAGAAGCGTACGATACGACTTGTATAGCAGATTCGAGTCAAGTCTTAAATTTGTCTCTTACCGGACACGCTAGAACCAATCTGCGCCCTGGGGCCTTTAAGTAGTGGTTTTTTGTCTTTGAAGGATGGGGCGGGCTCGAGCAACTCCTGCGCAGGCTCTTGCGCCGACGCGTCCAGCGAAGGTTTCGTGACGCGGTACGGGGGCGATCTGCGGGCGCAACAATTTGGTCTACGCTATGTTATTATGTCCAATCTACACGAACTACCCATAAATATACGACTACTATTTGTAATTCATAACGCCAAATCAAATTATTAATAAAAGTAAATATTTTTTCATCTTTTTATAAGACGTTGTCTGACAAATATTTTATGTATCTATTTGAAAGCAAACGATAGTATTAAAAAATTAATAACGGTAATAATTATTCAATATAAAAGACATTAAACTTTTCTGTTGCTAAAGAGAAAAGCGAAGTCTCATTAAAGTTTCAAAGTCTTCACAGAAGCCTTAATGAAAAGTCTTTGAACGCATCAGTGAATACTTTCATTTTCTTTCTATATTTTATATTTACTTAAGAGAGAGTACACACACATAAATGTAGAAAACTAAATCAAGCAATTCCACGTACAAATAAACCTAAAAAAAAAATACTTAAAACAACAATACTTATAAATTAGATAACGTATGAATCTGGACCTCACTCAGCTTTTGTTGTAATACGGCAACGGCACGTGTCTTCTCTCTCCCATCAAACCATAAACCCACCATGGCTTTATTAAAAAAGACCACCGAATAAGAGTACTATAACACATGTATGTAGGTATTTTACGACCTATCATTTTGTTAGTTAACCATAAATCTATAAGAAGCCTCTATGACAAAAAACAAACGTGAAGTGTTTATCTAAGTCTAAAAAAATAGAAAGGTCCAATATTCTTATTCTTTCAACGAAATTGAGCGCTGAACGAATCATGTCAGATGTATCATATCGGATTGACAATAGCTTTCACGGAGTAAATATTTACCGATGGCATTGCTAAGGGTTGAATCGTCGGTGGTTCAATACGAAATCCGAATCTATGGGGTATTGGGGAGTAATTCGTAAATCCATGAAAATATATCGATTTGTATTGTGAGTACCTGATTTATAATTTTATTTGTCCTTTCCCCTTATGTAGAAAATGGATTGTATTTAAATTGAACAAATATAGACAGACCTTTAATTTATTAAGATAATTAAATTACATTAAGACACATTCTTCGTAGAAATGAGTGTAAATTTCGTATTTATACACAAATGTGCAAAAATATTTTTTTCTTTTTATAATAGCCGCTAATACCCCAGCCATATAACATCCAAACAAGTAAACGATGTCCAAAGGGACATCGTTTACTACAGTGATGCATTAATGTATTTCAAAATGTTATTTACTGGCTTTTTGTATTACTGGCTTTCAAATATTGATATATATTTCACGCATATTTGTATATGTACACTTTTATAATCTGATTATTTATGTTAGTATTTATACATATATGCTAGTGTTATGTGATTATCCCAGGTTAAATTTTGATGAAAGGCACGCAAGGAAGCATCCGGATTATTCAAACAGGGGATATAAATTCCTTTATGGTCTGCAGCACTGGAATTCCTACGGGCGTTCTAAAAATGCTACGGATTTAGCCTTTTCGTAATTCCACGGGCTTATAACATTTATTTTTCATTAGTATTTAACTTCTGTATTACACTGTATCATAAAAGATCTTGTTACATTATCGTCGTTTTTTATCCTATTAAACTTAAGGGAACATATATTTACTTTTACTTAATATTCATACTACGCAATAACATGTGAAAAGTTTTCTCTGCCACTAGTTCGAATCCCACCTAAGGCAGATTGGTCTAAAGATGAACACGATTACAAAGTAACACAGGCGTGGTCGGAGGAGGAGCGCTGACGTCACAAATGACGTCAACCCTGACGCGAGCACGACCTACTTCGCTGCGTGAAATGCTCAATCTGATTTAGAGCTTTGTACGAGATCAGTTAAACGCGATACGGCACCCGTCTCCATGTGCTGAGAAATAATTGTTATTTACACGACGTGATTGGGTTTTTTATTATGACATCAGAAAACTTCGGAGGGCTCAATGGTTGAATGCAACGTATCTCTAATAGTCAACAGGTTCAACTCCCACTGGCCTAACATGTTTCTAAAATATTCTTTCAAACATGTTGTATTGCGTTTAAAAATATAGATTTTCAATTCCAAAACCACAACAAGTCGACAGCGCATTTTGTTTAGATGACTTATTTCAAATTCATTTAAGAGAATCTTACGCTTATCTGTCAACGTCCTATAGAAAGCCACGACCACATATAAAAATAATCTAGTTCATAACCCTTCCAGGAAGATAGGACTTACGTATAGGGAAATACGTTTTACTGTTAAACTATTTCTGATATGGTAATTTGTAAAACCTGTTTCGAGTACGAAAAGATCACCTTTCCAAAACGAAATAGGCAATCGAATTTAAAAAGCAAAATTCAATGTCGTTTAAACTATCACTCTCGTGATATTTGTAATTTTAATAAAATATCTGTAACAATCTGGTTTGTTACAGTTATTTAATTAAAATTACAAATTTAAAACTATTTTGAGGACCGAAAAGTTAATTTTTGCAGTTGCAATTGTTTGTTAACCCAATATAGTCTACTCGATAAAACATACATTTTCTCTTCTCGCGAGCGAATGCAGTAAGATAATAATAAGAAAGATTCCTAAGGAATAAGAGAGATGAGTTGTAAGATATCCTCGTAAGGAAGTGTTTGTAACGTCACTGAGACAATATTTAAAACAATAATAAGAATTGAATAGTACATAAATTCTTATTAATATTTGTTTGAAATGCCAAATAAAAATGTTTAATTACAACAGGCACCTGCCACCCATTTGAAACGAAAAATACTCTATTTTTTATGTACGGTATTTTTTATTTAAATGTCTCGCCCTGTTGTTCCCGGACTAAATAAAGCTTTTCTATAAACTGCGGTTGAAAAAACATTGCGGTTTTTAACTGTTCTAATACATTGTGCACCCTTTTGTAGACAGAGCTTTGTGCTGTTTGCTTTTCAAATGAAAATTTCAGCTGAGGCCTGCGTATTTTGATAGCGATGACAAAGTAAATATCTACGTAATTTTCACTTGGCGTTACTTTTCATGAGGCTATAGACTAAATGTTTTTTCGTAATGCAATATCATTTAGTTAATCATACTAATGTATCTATACTAATATATAAAGCTGAAGAGTTTGTTCGTTTGTTTGAACGCGCTTATCTCAGAAACTACTGGTTCGAATTGAAAAAATATTTTTGTGTTAGTAAGTAGTAGTAGGCTAATATAGGCTATAAAACATCGCGCTGTGACTAATAGGAGGAAGAAGCAGTGGGAAATGTGATAAAAACTGGGGAAAATTTTCATCTCTGTGGGTTTCAGATGCGTACGCTGCGAAAACGGTTCAAGATATCTAAAAAAATATGTATAGACGCCATAGAACTCGTTCGTCGATAAATGGTCTAACTAACACAAAATAATTTTTCAATTCGTACCCGTATTTTCTGACAAACGCGTTCAAACAAACAAACAAACTCTTCAGCTTTATATATTAGTATAGATATAGATTACCGCTTAAGTGTTATTTGCTTAAATGTTAGTTATTCTCCTCTTTAAATTATCCTATAGTAAATTGTAGTATATATCTATATTAAAATGTTAAGTGAAATAAACAGATGTAACGATTTCCTAACTGTCTCCTTTTAAATTATCATAAATAGAGCTTGGGCCACTTATATAATATAATACAACGAGGACGCAGTCGACAACAATTAATGACACAGTGAAATCATAGTCTCATCTGAGAATAATATTAGTATGTGTTACGTCAAACCCTAGCAGGTAATTAGTCACCACTGGTTAAAGAAACCATTGTTTTGGTATTATGTAATCAGCTCATTTACAATTACAACAGGTCTGACGTCACGTGCAATTATAAAGAGTTTATATTTCATATATTTCCGTGTTTGAAGTAATTAGTGTACATGAAGGCACATATTAATTTGTTTAAGGCGTGATTGAGTCGAAAATTTTTTCAATTTTTTTTCGATTTTTAAATTAAGAGTTTATATTTCCGTGTGAAGTAATTAGTGTACATGGGACATATTGTTTAAGGCGTGATTGAGAAAATATTAAGAATATTCTAGTATTTATGGTGATCGAATGTATAAAAGCCTCCTGTTACAAAGTTACGTCTTTTATGCATTTCTTTTTTATGTTCGTTCAGGAACGCATATCGTTTAAATTTAATACTCGTAATTATGAAACAATTTTATTTTTAATTATATATAATTTAATTTTCCCCGATCATTCCTTTTAATAGCAATGTTAATTTTATATTTATTCATAGTATACAGCACTCCATGCCTCTTATAAACCACCAGTAGTCAAAGGACCCGGCCAGTTTCGCTAAATCCCTAATTCGACGAAACAGATGGCGCTAGCGTAGCAGTTTTATACTTTGACGTCTGAGGCGCCCTCCATCTTTAGTGACCACGGCTGCTGTAAAGCCGTAGTTAAAATAATGTTCAAATAAGTTTAACTAATATAGTATCGTGTTTTTAACCGTTAAAGTGTTTTATTTCAATGTGTACTCGCGTAAAATACAGATAGTATCCGATTTTTGTTTTTTTCAACACTACAAATTCCCCAGAACTACTGTTTATAGCAAAAAATCGTTTGCCGAGTCAGCTTATGAGAATTTCTTTTGCTATATAAAAAAGCTTTAACAACCCTTAAGATTATTTGAGAAAGAACTCAATTATCTTCGTCAAATCTTAAGTACCTAATTAAAAGATAAGTACTTTGGCGTACCGAAAACAAATTAGGCTCGCGCGGCTTACTGCGTTTCGAGATAATTTTCCTAATTTGGATATCTCTTAAATATGGCAGCCATGACCAAATATAATATTTCAAATGGGATAAAAGAAATCGAGTCTCAAAAGAATCGAGATAAAGTCACGATATGCAAGTTTCTGTCTAAAATTCGCAAGACTCCATGGCTAAATTTAAATAAATAAATAAAAAAAAATAAAATAAAATAAAAAAAAATTATCCTTGTACATAAAGATATCTTTAACTAGCCTCGTCATTTATCTCGATACATGTATACTATAATATCACCATACCTTTACCGATCATTAATTCTCTTCGACGTTGATTAATTTTCGTTACTTAAACATTAATTAGTAGTGTCTGTAGTTTACGCGAGTAGTACATTTAAGTAAACGGTTTTGGCGTCGGGCCGTAGTAAAAATATATTGCAATTAAGTTTACTACATTATACTTTAACACTTCCCATGTGTATGCGGCATAACAAGAGGTATTTTGGTGATTAATTTTTCGGTCGCCGAAACTAAATCTTCTGTCGGTAGGGAAAGAACGAATTAATGTCTCCCTGGAACATCACACACTACCGATGAAAATAAACAGAAAAGGTATAGAATATAGATAATCTATGAAGAGTGAAAATAAAAAAGCAAGATGGCGGCTTATTAGCAGCTGATACGAATGAGGTGCAGGTGGAAATGCGCTTTGATGCTGTGCCAGCTCTTTGCTCTAATGATTTCAGCATCAGACCACTGATTCCATCAATTAACACTAAATCACTTTGAGTTAGGAGTTGCTAGTTCTGCTTAGTTACATTAAGCAAT